GATCGCTGATACCAAGTTTTATGTGGGACATTAGTTGGGCGGGGCGTGGCTGGATGGTGCCGAGTCGAGAATAGCGGCTAGAGTTGCCGGGCGCAATAAATTAGCCCGAAATGAAAGACAAATCGCCTCGGAGCTGTCCGCCCGCCCGACGTGATAGAAGCGCGCCGGCCGGAGCTGATGCCGGCTGCCGCCACGGCGGATCCCAAGGGTGGGAACGAAGACCGAGTCCCCGCTTCCGCTCGGCTTCGGCTCCTCCTTTTCCTCCTCCAGGACCTCTTCTCCCGCGACTCGGACCCCGACTCGGCCTGATGGACGTCTGTCGACCCACCGGGGACCTGGCCGCGCTTACGCCCACTCCTCCACCCGCTGAAGACCCTCCGGAAGGGTGGTCGTCTCCTCTTCGCGGGTGGACGCGCCGCCCGTTTCCCGCCCGCCGATCGTTCCCCGGCATCTGGGGAATGATTCCGGTGAAATATGAGGGATGTTCCCCGGACCCCGGGGAACCCTGGGCCCTCTTGGCCGTGCTTATCAAGGGATGCCGAGGGAGAGATTCGATGGGTTACGGCATCTACCGTGGAAATTGTTAGCTTCGGGAAAGAGTGGTTTGCATGACCCAGGGATCACAAGATTGGTTCCCTGTTCTGGTCCAATCATCGGAGGGAAAATTTAATGGTCTTATGTTTTGCTTCCAATTATCAAGGGCTTTAATTTCAGGAGACTCGATAGGTTCCAAGATCTTGCCCGGAAACCAGGAGTTTCCCAAAATCCGAGTAGTTCCCCCGTCCTAGGGACATCTCGAGATCCAGGGTCCCTGAACATCCAGATAGCCCGAGTCCTGCGAAACGCGCCGAATTTCTGAAGGAACCTAGCCGAAACCAGCCAGCAGGGAAATCTCCTAGAAGATGGGATCGATATCGGCGAGGTGGCGAAGGGCGGATATCTGAAGTCGAGAGACGGAGAGAAACGACAAAGGACCTCGGTTAAGTACCAGCCGCAAACGCGGGCCCTAAGGCGTCAGGAGTCAGGACCTGACGTCTCATCTACAAAGCTTAGAGAGACGTCAATTAATTAACCGGGAACCTTCTACGGGAGTTTGGTAAACTACCAGCCGGTGGTTCCCCGAGCCTTGTGGCCTGCAAGTGCCAGGTGCTGATTGAATCCCACGTAATAACCCGGAATAGGAACTAGACGAATCCAGGACCCGTCCAAAGCGACCGGATGTCCGATACGAGATGTATCAATTAATTAACCGAGCAACTCGCAGCTTTGACCAACTCGCTCGTCCCTGCTCCGATTTTATGAACGCCCAAGGGAGCCGCCATCGGTTCCCGGACTCGAAAGTGTAACACATAGACGGAAATGCGTGGATCCCCCCCGTGGTCCCCATAAACCAAGATTGGCCCTGCTTATCCGTGCCACTCTAATTTCCCTTACTACCCCCAGCAGCTCGTCCGATACGTCAGGCACCTTCGGAGATTGCGGAGACGCCGAGGCACGTTGTCGTCGTCCCGACGATACAATCGGCGAAGTTTCCCGCGGCGGGCGGTAAAGCTTTATGTATATTACTCGGCCGAGCAATGATAGTGGCCGTACGTGAGTTTTCCGTCAAAGCTGCTCCTTTCGGCGCTCCGGGGAGGGGATGTAAGAGGGGGTTGCAAGAGGCAGCTTGCGGCGTCTCTGTACCCCTTAGCTTCGTTAAACGCAGGTTACGCATCTACCTAGTTATAAAGTTAAAGACAGGTTACTTCAAATCGATTTACACCGCCAGGGTATGATATGAAATATTTTACATATTTCAAATCGAGTTAAAGGAGAGAATATTGGAAGTGAAGGTTTGTTACGTTTTCCGAGTCCGTATCGAGCATAACTCGATTTTCTCCGTTTCGATCCTCCGCAAGCTGGAAGAGGGGCTTGCCAGAGGGGAGCGCGAGGTTCCCCAAGCGGCCGCACCTAAGTGGGGGCGCTGCACCTGCCGACGCATGCGCGCGCGCTACGGTCGAGACCGCGAGGACTCGGGCGCGCGCTAATTTTGCAAAAAGCCGGCGTTCCTGCCAGGAGAATAACTCACGCCCGCCTAGACGGCCACTGTTGGCGAGTGTCTGTGGCAAAATGAACGTTTTAATTCCCCCCCATAAAAGCCAACGACAAATCAAACTCTGACATGATTAACTGGCGGGCATAAATATCGGTATCAATGCAACCTGCACGCAATGACGCGTCGCACCAAGCACGTCCAATGGCCGGCCCTCTCGCGTCTGTATAAATAACATCCGACGGACGTACCCCAGATGTTTCGATATTATATACGCTCCGAATTAGCGGATCGCCATTAGAGGGAGAGGGAAAGAGGAGCCGGTCGAGGCGCGCGATCGGCTTTCCAACATGGCCGCCGATTGTATGCTAATGCGCTCCGCTTCTTCGATCGCCCGTATACGCGATTAAAGGAGGATCCTTAGCGCTCGCGCCGTGACATCTTGAACTTTCACGTTTCGCCGTATTTCTTCCCAGGGACTCGTGGGATGCAAGATCCGAGATGAAACCTGATTGACCGGGTTGAAGTTACCAGGTGACGAGATGATCGAGTCCTCTCTGCAAGAGCGCCGGCTTCGCGCCGCTACCGTCGCGCCATCTGCCAGAAGAACGACGGAACCCACTCTCGGCGGGTCGATATAGGAGAGCTCTACTATCTCCTGGCAGACTTTGGATATCAGGGAAGATCAATGGAGGATAAATCGAAGACGCTCAAGGATAATCGCGGAAAGTCGTGCGGAACGATTCCGGAATAACACCCCAAATCCTGATCTAAACCTCGACGTTCCTTCGGGGACGCGTATAATTCAACTGGTCTGTAAATAAATTTGTAGGAATTTCAATTTACACCCAAAGCCCTCTGCAATGGCAGTCGGAATATGGGAAAAGATAGAGTAACAAGATAATGCCCGAATATTAGTCAATAGCGGTTTAAACGGTGGTTCCTTTAGAGTTTAACCCGACAAGTAGATACGCGAAAGTCACCGTCTCGGTCCTCGTATTTACCGGCGCAATTAATTCTACGTACTTGAACCCGGCGTAAGGGTCGGAATTTAAGGCGATCCTTAAAAGTTAAAAAGTTTCCGGTACACGTAAGAAAGTGGGTTACGGCAACAGGTGGGCACTAAAGTAAATATTCGCACATTACGGTCACTCGGCGGGCACGAAAGTATTTACGCACTTTAATTCATCCGCTTTAAAGAGTCGCCGGAGAGGGAACCGGAAGTTACGGTTTTCGTTCGCCACAGGCCAGCCCGAAGTTCCGGGCGCGATGCCGATTTAACGTACCGATTAACTCGCTCAAAGACTTCGGTAATCCCTTTCGCGGAGATCGCTCGATAGCTCCGAAGCAACGTCTTCGGATGTTAACGCAGGATCGTTCGGTTTCCCTAGCCCTGCGAGGCGAACAGTTGGAAACATAAATTAACCACAAAGGGCATTATCAACCTATATTGCCATAATTTATGGGCGCTAATTAAAGGGTTTAAGGAGGATCTCGGAGCTGATTTGCGCTCCACCGAGCTGAGTGAGCAAAGTTTAAACGACGAAGGCTCATTAAGATATGAACCGAACTAACGGCCTGGTGGTACGCATCCGAAGTAGCGGACACGTTCAGGCACCTCCAGACACGTTCGAAGGGGTCCTGGAAACCCGTTTTCCAAAAAGAAAACCCTCCACTCCCTGAAAAACGAAAAAAGAGAGGCTCTAATCAATCCCTTCATCCCGACCGGAGTGATCATTAAATTCAAATCCAGCCCGATTCCCGGAGTAACTTTCTTAAGGCGGTAGTGCCCTGTGATAGCGGTTGAAAAAATTAAAAAATATACTATTTAATAAATTGCCTCTGTAATATGTCTAGAATATGTATTAGAAAGACCTCCAGTAGATGAAGAAGTGTCAATGGAAGTTTAAACGAATCGAGAGTCAGATCGATCGAAGAGATCGAGAGGTCCTCAATGGTCGGGGTTCGGCCAGGCCGACAAAGGAAATGTTAAACGGCGCCTTCGGCGACAGTTTGGCTCATGGCGGCGGGTCAAAAGAGAGTAACTAAATATTAAAGACAAGGGAACTTGGCCGTTTGGTTGCCAGCCGTCATTAACGGGTACTTAGGAGACGCGCGACCACGGCTGAGTAGACGACGCGAGTCTCGCACCTGCGTGCACCATTAAACCTACTATTAAATATTACCGCAAACTTTTACGAGGCCATAATACGCTCAACGGCTCGTAGGGATGTCACCGAGCAGGCGTGTGGTCTTGCGAGGAGACAAAAACCCAAAAGGGACGCATCCTCCCTCGTCAGGTTCGAATCCCACCTCCCGAATTTATACGCATGGTTTACCCTACGCACATTCGACTTACATCTCTAGATACCCATAAGTTCGTGCCGTTTCAATATTCTAATTTGTACCGGATGTTTGTCACCAACGGAGAGACAAAAAAACTGCCTTGAACGATGAAGGGAAATATATTATTAATCGATATCGGTAAATACCACGCCTTAAAATAAATTACTTTTTAATACGAAGGAAGCGGCATGAACTTACGTGGCAATAGTTGTCTACTGTATATTTTTTGGAATTTTGATACGTGTATCTATCAAAGAGCCTTTAACGATACTCGCGGGGGCATATTAGCTAGTGATCGCGATCGGAGGATCCGTCAGTATCGGATAAGGACAGAGGGCGGTGTTTCGGGTGTCCCTTTGGCAGGAAAATGGCAGCTCGGGAGAGATAGAGACGCGACTACCCCTCTCGTTACTTGGACTCTAACGTTCGATAAGCCGTTCCCCCAGGGCTCGCACAAAGGCCTAATTACCCATAAATTCTCTGATTTACGGCGGTCTAGAAATGTAAATATGAAATATGAAAATGAGGATGGGAGTAATAAAAGTGATGTACGAGGCTCCGTAGGGTCGTTCATGAAGGCGTCCATCATTGGCGTGACAGGCTTCTTTGTCTGGCGGCGGCGGCCGAAAGCCATTTCGCTCTCTTCTCACTCGGCGACGCGACGCCGTCTCGATTCTCATGCGAACCGGCCTGCTCTGTAGACAGCCTAGCATGATCTACGGCCCTCGTCTCAACACTCGAGGACAAACTTTTCCCCGGGAAATGTTGACCCAGCGCCCGACCACTTGACCCCCCAGAAGACGAGGAACCACCACGACGCTTCCGGGACACCCAAAAAACGACGTAAAACAATGTAAACCATGCCACCCTTGTAACCTCCACGAAATAAAACCATACCCAAGCGACCGTCTTAAAATTATTCCCACCGTTTAGTGCGTCCGAATCTTGGATGAAGTTCTTCTTGCGAAACTCATTATTACGTGTATAGAGGTTAGGAGACGGTAATGAAGGATTCGCTCTCAGCGATGCCGAAGCTGCGAGAACCCATGTACTCTGCCATGACGACTTGGGCGATGGTGTACTGGGTATTTGGACGTAGAGGTTGGTTTCTTATAAACCCATAAAGTCCCAGAGACTCTCTCCCATCGCCGATGGTGATGTTCAAGGGTTCGTCAAGCTCCTCCTAATGAGGAGACAAAGAACCATCACCCAGCATTTCCGGAGAGGAATGTAAACTGATTATAAATGTAGGATTACATTTACGGAGATAATAAGTCATCATTAAATTTCTTTAAGATAGACTCACGGCGTTTAAGGTCAATGCGACGAATCCGTCCTTTCCCACTTCCTCCTTAACTTCCGCCAAGATTGGATTGGTCTCTACGCTGGAGCTCCCATCGTGTCCGCAGACCATCACAAAATACATCCTAACGCAAAATTAAATCTAAGCTCCTTTTAAAAATTCGTTTGAAAATTTACTTGAACCCGCAGGTTGTACTTCCTGGGTATCAAAAGCATTATTCTCGACTTGATTTAAATCTGGGCCACTGAGGGTTAATTCTCTTGGGTTAGGTGAACGTAATTACCAAATTGGACCTCCAGTGTAGAAAATAGCGGGAGTCAGCATCACATCCACAGTAGTGTTCGAAATTGACTCGTGGATGACCAATGGCGGTGCTGCCAGTCTTGGAACCCTAGGTTTCGTGTGAACGGTCATGGATGCCGGTTTACTTGGTACTCTCGTGACCGAGACCACTTTGATAAAATACTCGGAAGCAGGCCAGAGTCCTTTGACCTCGAAAGGGAAGCGGAATAAGAGAATCCTTAAACTTCCAGTACATCCAAACGCTAAGCATATTTTCCAGTGAACAGTACCTGAGCACGATAGGACGCATTCTCCTTAAACACCTGAACATTCCCCGATACCTCTTCGTCGCAACACATGTCGGAATCGAAGGAATCAACATGCTCGGTAGAAATCCTGAAGGACCTCAAGATCCCGTTCGTCATATTCGGGTGGCCCCATTCGATCACGACTCTATCCTCGGTTTTCCGAATTAACCTTACGAAGGACGGCGGATCAGGAACTAGAAAACACGAGGATGAGGAAAAATCGAGAGACTATTCCGTTCCACCAGAAGAGATGCTCAATACGTACCACCCTCAATAGTCGTTACGGTAAGATTGGTTGGAGGACCATCTTCCCCAACGAGGCTACTGAAAGGCATCACCTAAAATACACATGACTTTAACGATCTTCCTTCATTTACAACATGATGAAGAGATATTTGAGCAAAAGTGATATACGATGATGGTGTAAGTCGTGTTGGGCCCGAGACCGTCAATCTCGTGGCAAGTGTACGACTCCCAAGCTGTACAGGAAGAAGTCTCGACTCGTTGGGCGAACAGCACCTGATCCTCGAAAAAAGTCCGTATATTGGCAGAGTCAATTGGTCCATGAAGGTACTTGGGATTCCTCCACCTCAAGCCCACCATGGTCTCGCCACGCTTATAGGCAACCAGGTCCTTCACGGGATCAGGAACTAGAATTCCAAGATGTCTAAGTGAGCGAGTGGTTCTTCAGCGCTTCATCGTGGGTAGAAGAGGAAATCACCTTTGGGTCTGGTCCGGACAGACAGGCTGAAGACTGAGAGGTTCCTCCAAGGTGTCCTATCGGAGCTGTTGGTCACCAGAGCGATCTCGATCCTGAAGAGCGTGTAGCTCGGTAGCATCGTAAAGTTTACAGAGGTCGAGTTGATGAAGACCACATTGGTCTGATCGACGCTTGCAGTGTCCTGCATTTGGAGATATTTCGGGTCCCTTGCTATGCGATGCCGATATCCCAGGATCGGTCCATGCTGGGAGGAACACTTCTCCGGAGGTAGCCACCAGACTGCGATCCAAGAATTGCCAGCCATCGGGGGTTTCTTGGGGTTCATCCTAGGAGCCGCTTCAGAAGCTGCGGAAAGACCAGACCCGGTACTTCTATCTCACCATTGTTCCTCTCGTTAATCAACCCTTACGAGCGGTCAAGGTCTGAGCATCCAGGGAAGAGAAGTCCCCGATCTCGCCGGTATAGACCGCGACCTTAATCCTGTATCTGGAATAAGGCTGCAGACTTTGAAGAGTCAAGTAGGTCTCGCTGATCTCCAGGGTTCCGTTGTCAGGGCAGTTGAAACTTTGACACGCAAGACGGCGAACGCACTGAAATGATACGATTCATATCAGCAAATTATCTAAATTCGCTGATCCAAGCAGCATCCCTACCATGTATACCACGACGAAGTGTCTGACCACATCTCTGGGTACCTCCTTGGGAAAGTTCCACTTCAAAGTCAGACTCCTCGCTTTCGCTTCGACGATCTCCAAATCCCTCACGACAGAAGGCTCTACAGTTAAGTTCCGGTTATTTCAGTGCATCCATGATTTTAAAAGCAATTAATTCTGGTACCTGAACCCCGAGTTTTGGCAGGGATCTCCAGCCTGAACCTCGGATTCCGGAGTCCACCAGTCACCGCCTGTTCAACTTGCACGAGGAAGTTCGTATAAGGTCGAAGGGCTGTGAAGGTAACAGGTGGATGCGTGACGTTACCCTCGATCACCAGAACCATCTCCCCGGGAGACTTTTCCATGTACAGCCAATAGTGGTAGTACAGAGGAAAGCCGTGCAGCATCCTGCAATCTGGAACCGGCTTCCACGTGATCTCCACGCTGGTGGACGTCCGAGATACGATGGGCTCCTCCGCAGGTGCAGGTGCAGCCTCGGGAGCTGGACACTCGAAACATGGTCACCAAGCTAAAGTATCCGAATAACCAAAACTGCTGCAATGATCGAGCTATACAAAGGATCTATAAAGCCCAGACTTATTGGGTGTGCCTATGTCCAGTGACTTAAAGACTCCTGCAGGAGTCGAGTCCTAACCAGCGAAAGGCGTCGCCGCCTTGATCCTGGTCCATGGGCCTGGTTCTACGGTAACTGCAGCTACTCTGATGCTGTACTGAGCATGAGGATGCAGTCCTGATACGTTGCAACTAGTATGAGGAGTTTCCAGACGCCCTGCAGACTCCCTACACGTAACGTTTGGGTCGCAGGCAAGATACCTCAGGCACTGAAAGTACAATTTCGCCTCCAGCAGTTTTATGTTTACCTTTCGATGCCATTTAACGTACCTCGAACTCTACTGCGTAGAATTTGATTTTTCCAAAGGTCGATCTAGGCTCTCTCCAAAAAACTTGAAGCTCCGTCGGGCTCACCTGGGCAGAGCTCAGTCTGATCACTCTAGTCGGTGCTTGAAGTAACGAAAAGCTCTTAGAAAATAATCTCAACGAGGTAACGACATTGGCTAACACATTACAAGACTAAAAAGTCAGACTTTGCATTCTAAGATGATCGAGTAGCGATAGAAGTACTTTGTACCTCCCTGGATCGTCTTAACAGTAGTCGCCTCGGACGCTATCGACATTCCGTGAGTTGTTACAGCCTGCACTTGTACAGAGTACTGAAAGAACGGACTTCGATTCGGAACGGAGATCTTGTTGCTGCTGGTGACGTTGTACAAATAACGCCTCCATTCTTCCCACAAGTAGACCCGGAAATGCAGCAGACTACACGCAGTGAAGTCGTTCGGATCGTACTACGGACGAAGAAACACCACACGTATCGGGAAGATACTTTAACGAGGTCTAAAAGGTGTTACCCTTACTTGCCATTCGACCTCGAACTCGTCACGCGTCTTCCAGGTCGCCTTGACTTCGTAAATCGGATCTGTCGGCACTGGAGATCCCAGAAGTTAGACCAAAGAACCCTGAAGGAGCCTAGGACTGATTATCAAGACCGTTGGACCCTACTTATGTACCTTGGCAAGTCGTCGTCACTGATACCGAGGGGACCACGGAGTCATTGCTGAAATGGCTGCCGTCGTTGTCCAGGAGGATAATCCTCAACAAGTACGTCGTGCCTGGACGAAGCTCTTCGACGAAGCCATTAACAGGATTCGCAGAGTGGTCCAGAAGAACCGGGGTCCTGTTCTCCCAGGTCGCGGAGTTCTCTTCCTAAAAATTCCGACACTTCGTTCTCACTCTGAAGTGCATTGAGAAAAGGTGCAATCTTATCTTCCGACCTTCACTTGGACATGGTAAAATCTAGGCTCGCCGGAACCAGCAGTGTTCTCCGGTCCCGCAAGAAAGGCGAAGGCGACTCTTTTGGCGGAGACCTCGGAGATCACGGGCGGATGCAAAAGGTAGCTGTAGGCTGCAACGCGTCGACTTGTGGTCGTCACAACGCTTTTTCGTCGTTCTAGGTCACTTACTTGAGTTGCAGAGAGGTGGAAAGTAGCCCTGGGAGCAACCCTCGGGACACAAGCCTGTGAAGATGTCGCAGGATGCACCGCTGCTGCAACGGCCGCACATGAAGCCGCAGTTTGGGCCGTACCAGCCAGGAGTGCATTCTGTTTCAAAAACCAATTCTGATTATTGATCTGGCTTCCAGATTCGCAATTCTAGGCCGACACGAACCCGAGTCGCAGGTCGAGCCGGTGTACCCAGTCACGCAGTTGCATCCCAGAATTGGCACGCAAAGCACCAGTCCCTTGCAGCCATCTTTGCGTCCTGAACATTGGCCCAGACAGTCGCGACCGAATGAGTTGGCTCCGCACCCTTTACAATTTCCATGCAATTTTATTATTAATGACATTACTTCATACTACCCAGGCAGTTTAAGGGCACCTACCTTCTTCGCAAGTGTCGCCGACAAAACCCGGAGGACAAGCGCACTGACCAGTAGCGGCCTCGCATTCTCCTCCATGCAGACACGGAGAACAAGACATCGCCAGCCCTGAAATTCCAACATCCACCGAAAGATTCCCTCCTTAGAAAGGATTATCCAAAGCGTCGAGAATCTATTCCATACCCTTTCTATCGCCGTATACAGTCGGGACGTCACAAGTAAACGATTTATCGCGGTCGAGCGAGATCGTGGTCACGGCAATCTCCTCTTCATCTAAAAGAAGATCCAGGGAAGTCGAATAATTAATAATCGATTACAATTGCATGCTGATTACGTACCATCGGGGTTGCAACCCATCAACCCGTGAAGCGCAACCGTTGCGAAAGGGTTCCCCTTCAGGCCCTCGATCAGGATCTGGATGTCCATTTTGTCAGAGTCGGAGGGAATGTCGTGCCTCAGTCGCTGCAGGATCCATTTTTTCTGCGGAGAAGAGGACATGCTCGGAACAGCCGAATCGAATTATATGTCGGGTTTACTTTCCACGAGGACGTACGTTGTCCCAAACGTTACTGAAAACTTGGCCCAACAGCGTGGAGGAGCCATCATGGCGTCGTGCGGAGACTTTAATGCCTGACCCGGGAACCAAGTCCATGTACGCGAAGAAGGAGACGCAGACTTTATAGGCGTTGTCCATAGCCAGGATGGGACTCTTCAGCACCCCACTGATGCCGACCAGCGACCAAACACGACCATCTTGAAAAGAAACTCAGTTAAATCGCAATGATCGTGGTCCTCGTCGGACTCTAGATCACACGAAACAAATGAGATCCTTCACCCAGATACAACAACCAATCGCGTTCTATCTCGGAAGTGCTGACTGCGATGTACTTCACCCTCAATGGACTGGGATCCAGTTGAGTAAAAAGAGCCGAGGTCGAATCGTTCCTCCAGAGCTGAAGTTTACCTCCGGTGGTGTCCAGCTGAAACATGGCGTCCTCCTCGGCAACCCATCTCTAGAAACGGAATCCGGGGATGTGTTTTAAGGAAAAGAACTACTTAATGCGATGGCTCGAGGTCTTACGATGTAGATGTTCCCGATGCTGTGGCACTTCTTCATCCCGATTCCAGGACCGAGGTCGATCTCGTGCACGTATTGCCGACCTCGGCCGCACTTCTGGATGCTACTCGTCTGATGAGTCAAGTACAATTTGTTGTGGACTACATCCACGACGTACATCTCACCGGAATTGAGGTCGGCCTCTGTCAGCAGGATCACCCTTGCCGTCCCTCTGGTGGAGGTCTTCAAGGAGAAATTAAATCGCGGGCGAAATAAGGGGACCAACTGAGAGACCAGGACTCCGTTGGTGTGGATGCTCACGGTCTCTGGGAATAATAGAATTATAGCCTGTGCCTTCTAAAAGTTATCATCCCCTAATAAAAGATATCTCCAAAAAACTAAATTATAGTTTAGAATACCGTGGTGCAGCCTTAATGGGGGTAGATTCAGTTCTGCACCCCCCGTGATCTCCCAGCCCTGAGAGGTCCAGGGGCAGTTGGGTCTCAGTCCGATCTGACAACTCGGCACCGTAAGGCCCACTTCTGGTTCTGAATAAATACACGAACTTGCAAATTGGAAACTATCAAATTCGGATGAAAACCCACCAAAAATCGAGCCATTTGGTGCGATAAACGGCAACCCTAGCGCGTTGGTCCTGGCGTGGCATTCGACCGATGTCGAATTCTGGAATTCGTTTCCTCCCCGATAAATCGTCGTCACGTCCAAACTTCTGCATGCCCAGAACACTATAACAAAGGCACCGCTTCTAAGTACAGTCCCACGGTCTCGGAAATTGTAAAAATTAAATATATACCGATGCACTGCACGATCCAGAAAAGTGATCGTCCGGACCAAGAATCCATTCTACTGAAGAATGGTTCCGACTTATTACGGAATTTATGAACCTCGTTTGTATGATCGAGTACTGTTTTATGTACTGTTCGGTGCACAAAGAGTGTTTTCCTGAAGCATTATTGTATCCAGAAACTAGGCCTCATTGTCTTCCTGCCCTCGATCGTTCCATGCGCTCTAAGAAGGAAAACGCGATGGAAGAATCCCTGTGAAGGCATAAATAAATTGAATTTCAGTTTTTATTATAAAAAGCGAATATAAGGAAAGTATTTGAATTACTGGATGATGCGATTCGCCGTTCCTGTTCACCAATAGAAAATATCTGGATTTGGAGTCCTCCGCATAATGTCGATAACTGTTTGCTCGTTGATAAAGTAGAAGCCCTCTTAGACCTCTCTTGATAATAATTTTTCTGGTGACTGTCGATATTTTAATAATTATCAAAACTGTCTTATCAGTGCCCTATCATGCAGTTCGTCGAAATGTAGCTTCCAAAAGACCGCTTCAAGATTTAAATAACGTAATAAATAATTAAAACTTACCGACAGACGCGAACTACTGTACAGTGTCTCTCTCTGAAACTGCGGTAAGATGGCGAATTACGTTACATAAAGCGCAAAGCGCATTAACCTATTCCTCTACGAAAAATATAGAACTGCATCGTTAATGTCTACCATGAAACGACTATTCTACAATTATTATTGTCTTACCAAGTTATTTCGACAATAATTTAATTTCAAAGTGGCCTGATTTCCAGCAATTCAACAAATATGAAAAATGGTCAAGTGTATTTTCAAATTCAAACTAGATTGGTTCGTTCCTAGTTGTCTCAAAAGTAACTAATCAATGGCCAATCACGGTTCTTAACTCCGATCTAGTGCCAACTTATAAAAAAAAACATTCAATCTTCTAGGGTAGCGATTTCGTTTCCAGGTTGGCAAGTCTGCTGAACAGCGTCAACGTTAATTGAGTAGCACAGTCCATGTACAGAATTGTATAGTTAGGTAGTCAAGAAGGACGAGGTAAGGGTGTAGAAAAGAGACCATGAAATAATCTCGTATTAAGCCTTCCTTCTCGCACTTGTTGCTCGGACACTAAAGAGAGAGACAGCATGGTCTCCCAGCAGTCCAAGTAGGGCAAGTGCAATGAAAATAAATTGCAAATTAATTCCAAACTTCACTACTCTTCCATATAAATATAGTGGGTTCAGGGATAGTTGGGAATGGTTAACAATTGCGAATGAAAGTGAAAAAGATGTCGAGGGGATTAATTATGCGTGAGAACTCAAGACCGAGATGACGCCATCCAACATTTTCCACGCGATAGGAAATATTTAAGAAATAGTTCCTTCGCTCGAGAGTGTCAGAAGGAAGAAAACACAAATGGACGTCCTAGGTTAGCCTTGTATCTTATGAGATAATTTCGTGAAGGTACTCTACTATATAGACCCTTATTCTGCATATAATAATACATGCAAAATATTATGATAAATATATTTATAATTTACAATTTATCTTTAACGATGAAACACGGAGAATCTTTTGTTTATCGGCGTGCAGTAAATGGCATTCTGTTACTCAGGTTTCTATCCAGCATGTTGACGGAACAAGCGGTTCTTATGGATTCCATACAGCAGGGTGTGGAGACGCTGCCGCTAGGCTTCATCATCTCAGAGGATGGCCGGACACTTTTTGCGGTCATTGGTAGAGTCATAAGTCTCGGTCGAACAATCCCTACATTCATTCTTGCGAACTTATCAACTGGTTTTTCCAGATCGGGAGGATGGAGTGTTGGAGTTCATTGCGACTACAGTAGCAGTGACACATAACGGTGAGCCTATGACACCGGGTAAGACTGCAGATGGAAATATAATACTAAATTCTGTAAGTAAGATTTTACTTCATGGCGCTTTAAGCGTTATTTAAAAACAGCGATCAGTAAGAACTTTACTTGAAAATTTCAGCCAATACTGCAAATAAATTTGGAAGACCCAAATGCCTGTGAAGTGAAACCAACGGCTGCGTCTCTATTACCTGTGCAAGGTTACCAGGCACTGCCCGTAGTTCTAGAAGACCAATCTGCCCCTCAGTTGGTTAAAATTAACCGAGTGCAACCCATTGATGACCCGATCTCAGAAATCGAAAATTTAGATGCGGAACTAAATGTAGAAAATGTGCAAGAGAATTTGGAAGAGATTAGTGAATCTCTTCCACCTGACAGGAGAAGTTTGATGAAGAGAGGGCCAGGAAGGCCACGAAAGGAAGAAACTGGTCCACCACTGAGCGTAAGTAATTTACAATATTTCATTATTTAACTATCCACTAAATTCTTCTACTTACCAATTATTTCCCCTTTCAGAGAATTAACAACTTCAAATGCGACATTTGTGGCCAGACATTTACCAAGCAAATGTTACTGCGAAGACACATGGAACATCATGCGGAGGAAAAGCCTCACCGTTGCCCCAAGTGCCCTGCATCGTTCAATGTCCCGGTAACTTTATAAAATAATCATTGAATATTCATCCCATAGGAACTCGACCACTGAATCATGTTAGCTGTAATTCATAGCCCATTAAAATCTCGTCAGAATTTAATCAATGCTGCAGGAGACTAAATCGATGTTAAGTGGAGGGAAACATGTCGGAGTAGATTTTAAGTACAGAGCTAATGTGTCAGTTTGACATGTGTTTACCGGGAAGTAAGCTTTTTTTTTAATGCGATCGAACATAATAAGTGGTCTTCCACTGCCTCTAATCTTCTATAAAGGACACAGTTGACTAACTCTGCACAATGGTGCATTGCTACAGACGAATTTCACGCTTCATATGGCGACGCACGGCACCGGTGAGCCCAGGTGTCCAGAGTGCGGCAGAAGATTCGCCCGAATGGCCAGCCTTAAGTCTCACATGTTACTGCACGAGAGGGAGGAAAACCTGTTCTGCACGGAATGCGAGGATGCCTTCTCAACCAAGGTGAGCGCCACGCACTTCAATCGTTAAATCATGACAGAAACCACAGAAGACTTTCGTAAATCATAAGTTTGGGTAAATTGATCGCAAGCCCTTTACAACACATGAAAGTCTCAGTTCTGAGGAGAAGGGTAACTTATTTAGCATATTTTCATTATTATTAATCGGGTGAAATCCTTCAACCCGGGGAGGAATAAGTAAGTTCAAACACAGGCGGCGATTTTGACCGATTATTCGATCCTGCGCCGATTCTCTTCATTCCGCCATCTTGAATACTTTACGCACTGCGCAGCACCCAATGTGCCGCTCTACGTCACACGCGTATTTGAATCACGGAGAACGCCTCGAGTTTTAAATGCGAGATATCTCGAAATCTCGAACACAGACTCGATAATAAATACACAAAACTGAATGCTTGAACTCACTGTCACTGTTTAGATAAGTTTCCAGTAGTGGGTTCTTAAAATTTCATCCATTAATAGGAAATACATCCGTCGACAAGGCAACTCCATTCCTGTCCCCGTCGCCATCTTGAATACGCAAGCGGTCCGACAAAATGGCGCCCGTTTTGAATCGCCAGACCCCGTGACACCCCGCGCTTCAGAGTGCCGATTCAAAATTCAAGTCAAAAAACACTCAATCGTATCCATCTCCCGTTATGATTTTACTCCTCTATCTCGAATAGCCCGATAAAAAATCGTCGAGATTACAACAATCGTATCATTTAAAAGAAGTTCCCTGAAAGGATGCCAGATACGCGGGGACATTTGACCGCTTTTTCTCCGTACAAATATGACAGCAGTTTGGACAGAAGAGGTCGGTTCCTTGACCTTCCTGCCTTATCGAACCCCCGTCGTTTCAGCTTTTCTCCGTACTCTCGAAATGCAGACGACCGGCTAATAGAGAATATCGGTTGATTAGTCGAGGCCGAACGCATCTCCGTTACGCGGCCATGACGCGGACGTGGGCCGCGAAGCCGCGAGTAGGCGGGAGCCGCTGTCACGACTGCAATTACGCAAGTGAAACGCATGATCTCATGGGTCTCTTTCTCGTCGATCTGGTTGACAAGTGCGTCAGATCTTCCCGAGGTCCTACTTCTAATCGCGCCGCTCTGAATTCCGCGGTAAAGAGGCCTTTCCTCTCAATACGACGACCACGCCGGCGCCATCTTACCTTCCCTCGTAGACTTCTGAGACACCTCTAAAAAAAAATTCTCCCTTCTTCTACGCTCCACCCCGATGTCTGATTATTTTTTCCGAGGAAGCCAGAGACCCTCACAGTTCGGAAAATAATTCCTCCTGATTTTCGGGTTTTCGGGAGAGTCGGTAAAAATATCTCGGCAGCCCTAGAGCGCCACCAGTTAGGATCTAAGCGTGCCACGGCGACGTCTCTTTGGGGTCTCTCTAGAGACACGTGTACACTGTCAAACATGAATGCCTTCCCTTCGTACAATGGTGGCACCATATCTGCAACAAAGGCATCCATGTCAGGCAGTGTACCCGAGAAGGAGGGTCGCATATACATAGACAGAGGCGAGAGAAGGACGGCGGCGCCTCCACTCGGCCCAGCCTCCTAGTGAGACTTGGGACCGCGCGACAGGCACACGTGCGTCCCTTGACACGCGCTCTTAACACAGTTTGCATTTTTTTTAACCCACCCTCGTCTTCGATCTCCCAGTTTTCCCCCAAAAGTGAACACATCCCCCCTCGACGTGACCGCCACGCCAAAATCAACTTCGGGCTCTCAAACACCACGAAAAAAAAAAGAAAAAAAAAATTCAACCCTCCAAATTTTATCCGATTATAAATCAGGATTTTGCTCCTCTTCAATTTTTATGTGCGGTGGAAGTGCACGGGAACTGGGATCGAGTGAAAATCGCAAAGAAATCGCAATTCCGAGGAGGAAGAAAAATCCTGAACGCCCCCTTGTGAATGGAGGACCACGTGGTCAGTGACAGTTGTCACGTGACCCTCCGTAGTATACCCTAACCTACCGCGCGGCAGTTTTTACCAATGAATGAAAGGACCAGGTGTAGCGTGACAGGTCCGATTTTTCAATACATCGATTCAGGGCGGTCGTTCCTCTTGTACTACTACACCATAGAGGTAAAAAGTAGTGAGTCCATTTTTAAAACGTTTCGGAGAAAAACGTTAAAAATTGGAGAAAAACAGTTGCAGACTAGCGCACACTGAACTTAAGACCGTTTACGTCTACCGTACGGATTTAGAAAGCCAAGTTGATGTCATGGAGACGTCATCGTTAAGGTTTCTTCAGGGTCACAGGTGTGGAGGCTCTTCAGGGTTCCATTTCTCCTCGGGGTCGTTGGCGCCCTCGGCGCACGAGACGTGCGTACGAATAAATAGCGAGAGCGAGGCTTGAATTACGAGGCTCGATAAAGTCGCCTCGAAGTCGTTCCTGAAGACGTTCCGTCGTATCGCGTCGCGTTTCCGCGAACGTAATCGCGCCTTGGGGAACAAAGCCGTAGGAAAGGGTCATCGTCATCGTCATCATCGAGGGCGCCCTGCGAGGGAAGATCCGATTGCGCGAGGTGATGGACGGCGAGGTCAGAGATTCCCGGATAAGATTTTGCCTCTTCGTCTTCGGCCCCCTCTTCAGGGTCTCGAGGGTCTCGCCGTTGCCTCCACTTTTTCGAGGAGATCAAGCCAGTTCTCGGCTCCCTGACCCCGGGTCGTCTCCCTCTTCGGGTCTCTCTTCAGGGTCCTCTTCAGGGTCCCTCCTCGACTTACGCAACGCGCGACTTCTCGCGCGCCTCGCAATCTGAGAGGATCTCTCAGCAGGCTCGATGGGGTTAAAACCAGAAACTGGTTTGCGCTTTCTCCCTTCCCTCCCCTTCGGGCTTCCAGAGCCGCTTTAAATCTCTCCGGGCTGGTCCGGCTCGGCAAATATTCGCTGACGTAACCGCGCAAGGTCGCCTCGGGAGGGCCCTTTCGAGCGAAAGGAGGACCCGAAACGTCAGACCCTGGTCCTTCGTCCTCGACTTCTTCCTCTTCTTCTTCTTCCTTTTCTCTGGCAGCCCTTTGTGCCTCGGCCGAGACGGGTCCACCTTTCGTCCTCCTCGGGTTCCCTCTTCCTCCTCTCGGAACCGGAAACTCTTGTGTCTTACCAGGAAGAGCTTCTCGGAATGCCTTTCCAACTCTTTTCCATCTCGCAGGCCTTATCGCCGACTTATCACCCGCAAAGTGCATCGCCTGTCATGGCCGACACCGAACACCTTGACCGCGTGCGAATTCTACGCTCCGAGCTCGCACCGAGTCTTTTTTAAGTCTCCGAATCCACGAATCTGCCTTGCAAATAATCCCTGCCACATTTTTTCCAAGACGTGCCAGGTCTTGGAATAAAAAATAAGAACTTTTAACGAGGACGAACCGGCCGCAGCGCGCTAAGCCCTCCGTCCTCGACGCCTCGCGACTTGGGGGCGCTGAAAACTACCTCGAATTTCGCTAAAACTCTGGCGAACTCTTTCCCATCCCTTTTCCAGAAGTGCAAAGACCATTTAAATCGTTCCAGCGATCGATTTCCGCTGATCGATGACCCAGAACGCGAACTCCTATCGGCGATAAAACGGCGATAAAGTCCCCCAGAAGCCGCGGTGCGTATGTGTGGTCCGGGCATTGCGCGTCGACTGAAATAATAACGCGTCGATAATAAAACCGACCTAAGTCGATAACGGCCAGAGAACCGTTGAACTTTACCGGAACGGGGGTACGGAATACGAATGTCCTGCGTGGCCGCTATTAATAGGCGACTATTAACCCTGAAAACGGCCGCGGGATCGCGAAATCGCGAATCCCAGCCTGGCCAACGGTTCAGCGTTTATCACCGGGTCTCCGTTTTACACTCCACGTCGTTTTTAAGGCCCTATGCCTTTGCTAACTCCCAAACTTCTCGAATTTCTAGATTGCCCCACCCGGAAACGCGGCGTTCGCTTGGCCGCCATCTTGTCTGTAGCTCTAAGCGCAAATTTTCCATTAATACAGTTTCCAGTAACTCGGTAATAAGTAACGTTGGGCTTAAAATATGCATAATGTTTCGGTGATTTCCAGGAACTTTCGGCGGATTTCCACGTGATTTCGAGCATTAAAATCCACGACTTCCTGAGTGAATAACCCCTCGACTATAACCAGATTCGCGGTATCCAAGATGGCGGCCCGAGCGTCGCCCCCTAAGCCAAGTCTTGAATGAGATCGCGAAGAGCCGCGAAGTTATTTGACTCTTGACACGGAAACAATTGGCACATGGCTATTAATTAGAGAATTCGCGTGCGCGCCCGATAAACCCCTTCAAATGCATGTCAATGGACTTTAAGTGCGTCGCCGTGAATCAGAGCTAACGAGTGGGCGACGCGTTGATCTCGGTTTCCGGAAGTTCCACTCCCAAAGTGATAAGAAGACCTCTCCCCGATAATGCGGATAAGAAGAGCGACCCTCTCTCTCTCTCTCTCTCCCGGCACAGATTTCGTAAATAAAAACAGGAAGCGAACCTTAGGCGTGGTGAAAGAGTACTCGAAAAGAACTCGTTGAGAGATAAAAGAGCATTCGAAAAGAACTTGGGAGAGAAAAAGAAGAGGAACCGGACCTCGAACTTCGAAAAGCGTTCCCACGGTGCCGAAAGCAGAACTCGCTCCGATCGAGCGATGTCACAGGCAGCTGCAGGTGCATCGTCCGCGTCTGGTCATCCGAGCGGATGAGCAAAAGGAGGACAAGCCACGAGGCAAGATGTCGCTTACGGTGGACTGTCTGAATTTCGCGCTGCTCGTTATTTGCTCGCGAGTTTTCCACTTCGCCCTCGGACTGAGTGCCCAGTATTACCAGGTACCCCTGAAACTCGAGAAATCGGTGATAACCATGAAATAAAGGTCCCTTTAGCCCCTAAAACTAGTCCAAGGACGCCAGCGCGGTACCAAAATGGCCGCCACTTAAAATGGCAGCGCTCGGAGGACGTCTTAAGCCCCGAATGTTGAATTGAAACTACGCGAATTCCAGGGTTGGGTACCTCAAAATGAAATGTAAAAATGTTCTTAATGTTTCCAGGCCCAGTTGGACGCTCACCTGAAGCTACACAATGAGAGGTGGACCACGGAGGACGTGCGCAAGTGCAAACTCTGCAACAAGCAGTTCACTCAGCCCGCGCTCTACCGGCTCCATATTCGCGAGCACTACAGGGTAAACGATCAGAAAACATTGAAAAACGTTTCGAAAAACGGGTTTAGGTGCTAATGCAATTGTTGCATGCTGTTCCGCAGCTGCAGACGAAGGTGGCGAAGCAGACGAGGAGGGGCACGAAGCACAAGACCATGTACAAGTGCAAGATCTGCCTCAAGTCCTTCCAGAAGCCCAGTCAGCTGATGCGCCACATCAGGGTGCACACTGGAGAGAAACCCTTCAAGGTAGACAATCGGCGATTTTTTCTGCACATCTCTAGCTATGCCCGAAAATTCCTAGGTGGTCGAGAAAATTCCAAAAAATCACCCCGAGTCCTGGTGAATTTTTCCAGTGCACCATCTGCGCTCGCGGTTTCACCCAGAAGGGCTCTCTGCAGATTCACATGTGGAGGCACAAGGGCATCAGGCCGCACGCTTGCGTCTTCTGCAACGCGAGATTTAGCCAGAAAGGTGAAGGCCAGAAACCCAGAAGACCATGAGACCATAAACGAAATTATCTGCTAATTTTTAATTGCGCTTATTCAGGAAATCTGAACTCACACATCACGCGGGTGCACAATGCACCTGAAGGGGAGCCAATTTACGGGTGTACTCACTGCACCTGCGTTTTCCGGAAACTCGGGAGCTTAAACAGCCACATGAAGAGGATGCACTCGACACCTGTGGAGGTTTGAAAGCTTTGTTCACCAGTGTTCGGTCGAGAAGAAAAGTGGCTGGGTGGGCGTCGTTAATTGGAGGAATTAATTAGAAATAATTTGTCCAGGCTCCTCCCAGGTGCGACAGCTCGACGGAGGCTGACATGCAAGCCACGGTTGACAGTGTCATGTCGCAGCTGGCATCTCTGGAGTCGACTGTCAAAAATACCGCAGATTCCACCAACGGGATTGGCGTGTCAAACAAGGACGACATCCTGCAACAGGCGCTCGACAACAGCGGCTTGTCGGCCAAGGATAAGAGTTCTGCCTCGGGTAATTTAGACAATAAACGATTGTTCATACATATATATCTAAATTTAATTTTCTACAATTTTCCAGAGTCGGCCAACTCCAAAAAATCCGACGCTCAGACGACCTTCGTCACCCTGCTGGACAAGGCCACGGAGGGTTCTACAAAGTGAGCTCGAGATTAAAAAGAAACTCCGATAAGTTAATTTCCGAATTAATTATTTCATTCCTCTGCCCTTCAGGAAGTATGTAACCATCAAGCAACGGAGTATAGGAAACGTCAGGTGGTACTCCTGTTCATTTTGCCACAAAGAATTCAAGAAACCCTCCGACCTGATCCGCCACCTCCGCGTCCACACCCAAGAGAAGCCGTTCAAGGTATCCGAATTTCGCCCCTAATTCATAATTCCTGATACTACGATCCATCTCGAATTTTTATTTAGTATTGTAAATAATAGAATTATCATAATTAAATGGTTTCAGTGCTCGAGCTGCTTCCGAACGTTCGCCCTGAAGTCGACGATGCGCGCCCACGAGCGAACCCACACGGCAACGAAGAAGTACACCTGCGGCTCCTGCAATAAAGTATTTTCCTGCCACAGCAGCCTCTCCACCCACGTCAGGTACTTTTTCCCTGGATCCACGCAAGCCCCAGTAGATTTATAGATTTTTCTTCGGGGAGCTCCAGTCTCGGGAAGTAATCGAGAAAAATTAACGAAGTAACGAAAGGCGCCTCCGCCCGTAGGCAGCATACGAGGGCGCACATCTGCGAGGTCTGCGAGAAGAGTTTCGCTACCCACGCGATTCTGCGGTGCCACATGAAAACGCATTCCCGAGGGAAGCCGAAGGTCTCCCCCGAAGCCGAGGTCCTGGCCCCGCAGATCGTCCTGGAGGAGCCGCTGCTAATCAGCGACGCCGGGAACAAGATCAGCGTGGCGCACGTCCAGTCGAAGCAGCAACAGGTCTACAACGACGACGTACCCAGACCGCACAAATGCTGGGCCTGTCCTGCCGCCTTCCGGAAGATCAGCCACCTGAAGCAGCACTACCGAAGGCACACCGGAGAACGACCCTACAAATGTCCGCAATGCGATGGGTAAAACGTTCCTTCTTGAAAGTAAATCGCCCCTTCCCGTAAAGAAACTCAATCGCGCGAATAAGTCGCTTGGCGCGAGACGCCTCATCCGCGACGCTCTAACGGCGAAGGGATAAAAATCCTTTCCAGGAGGTTCACGTCGAACAGCGTCCTGAAGTCTCACCTGCACACACACGAGGACTCCAGACCCTTCACCTGCACGACATGTCCCGCGAGGTTCTCCACGCACAGCAGCATGAAGAGGCACATGGTCACCCACAGCAACAAGAGGCCCTTCATGTGCCCCTACTGTCACAAGACCTTCAAGACCTCCGTCAATTGCAGGAAACACATGAAGATCCACAAGCACGAGCTCGCGCAACAGGTAGCTTCTTACAAGACTCTAAATTGATTTTTTGAAAAATTCCCGCACCCTCTCTCAGTTAGGAGCCCAATGTTCTTCCGGGCGCCCTTACGTGTTTTCCGCGTCTCCTAAAAATTATCCAGCCCATCCTGAAGGTTCCTGGGGACTGTTTCACGTGTACTATGTTTCTTCAGCAACTGGACCGGCAGAAGACTCAGCAGGATCCCGACCAAGCCGAAGGAATGCCGACCATCTCAGGAAGCCTGGGCTTGACGGAGGAGATCGAGGTGACCTTTCAGCCTCAGATGGCTCCGGACTTCAGCCAAGCCTTTTCGGACCAGTTCCAAACCATTCCCGTCGACAAGGGAAAGCCCTTCCCCCCAGAAACCACGACCCCGTCGACGGGACCTCCTACCCTCTCGGATCGACGTACGTTGTCCAGAAATTCTCTGCTCTGAGAGAATGAAAGAACTTGAATAACCGTTGATGTGCTTCCAGAAAACCTGGCTGAAGTGGACACGGCAACCTTAGGCTCTTCCCAGACCCTGCACGCCGACGAGACCGGCACCATCACCCTTCCTAACTATTCCGGAGACCAAACGCTCACGCCGGTACGTATCTTCGAGATGGTTAATTGTTCGTTTCATTATTTAAAGGGGTTAACTGATAGAGAATCCTTCCAGGAGAGCATCAGGGAGATCGAGGAGACGTTGAATCAGCAACTCTTCGACATCGGGATGAACCTGGGCCTGGGGAACAATTTGTCCCGGCAAATCGGAGAGGCCAATCCCGCAGATGTGGAGATCAAGGAGCAACCCGTCCTCAGCATCATCTACGAGAACGGGAAGGGCCTCGAGACTCAAGCGGGAACCAACATCTTCCCGAGCCAGTTCGACACCTTCGACATGAGCCATATCGCTCTTCAGGTTGGTCCCAGATAAAAAAAAATATCGAAACTACTTTTCCATCCCTGTTTAATCTATCCTCTTCGGGGTCTTCTTCAGACCGACGCGGAAATCGACATCGCCATCGGCTCCAACTCGGCGAACATGGCGAGCATCCTGCCCAGGTCGGCCCAGGAGGAGGAGCAGCTGGTACCAGAAGTTCTGACGACCCTGAAGACTACCACCTCTTCCGTGCCAGCTCTCGTGGACGATGGTTCCTCGAAGGGTCCTCCGAGACACCTTATGGTCGTCAGCTCGGTGAAGACCTGTCCGGAACTCTCGAGGCCGGTGCAGGCCTGCCGGAAGTTCGCCAAGGTGATCGCCAAGGCCGACACCACGGACTCTGACCTCAGGGTGGTCGAGCTCGACCCGAAGGACCCTTTAGCGACCCTCTCTCTCGGCGAGGACGAGAACGTCGACCTCTTCGTGTAACCCTCCTCTCTAATTCCCTCAACGACGAAGACTCGACCAAGAAATAATTAATTAAATCGATCCCGCAGGTGCAGAGTGTGCGACGACAGTTTCAGGAGTCAGGAGGAGCTGGCGATGCACGAGGAGAACCACAATTCCCGGAAGAGGGACTCTGAAGAGGATGCCGAAGTCGCAAGGAACGAAAGTTCTCTGCAGTGTCACATGTGCAGTCGGAAGGGCTTCTCCGCGGCCGCTTTGAAAGTAAATTTCTAAAAAAAATCAACACGATTCCGAGAGATCCTATTATACGACAAAATTCGTTTCAGGAGCACCTGAAAACTCACTGCGGAGCAAAGGAGTTCCAATGCCCGGAGTGCTGCCTAAAATTCTGCACGAACGGCGGCTTGAGTCGCCACCTGAAGATGCACGCGAGCAAGCAGTGAGGATATATATTTTTTTGCAAGCACTCTACCCTTCCTAAAATTCCAAAAAAATTCCAGTGGGCTCTTCAGGATCCTGGTGAAACGTCCTATTTAATTCCAGGCAGTGGAAGTGCCCTGACTGTGGGAAAGCGTTCGCCAATAAATTGCTTCTCAAGTCCCACCGGCAGACGCACGAGGACACCTGGACAGCGAACGCGGTTGAGGCGGACAGCTCGCAGAAGGATCCCCTAAGCCTGGAGAACGAGTTCCTGCCGATGGTGGAGGTGATGTTTGGAAAGGCCGCTGATCAGAACGAGGCCTCGGAGAAGGTCTTCCTCGACAAGACCGAGGAGAAGGAGCTGGTGAACAGGCTCGTGGTAGGTTTGCGTTCGCCAGGGGTAAACTGGGCGATTAGGCGGAACAGAAGTAAACATCACATCCCTGTCGTTCAGGCGAACGGGCAAAATCAGGAGAAGAAGGAGTACTCGAACCGCTGCAGATTCTGCCCGAAGAGCTTCCGGAAGCCTAGCGACCTGACGAGGCACGTGAGGACCCACACCGGGGAGCGACCCTTCCAGTGCGATCACTGCAAGAAGAGCTTCGCGGTGAAGTGCACCCTTGACTGCCACATGAAGGTGCACACTGGCAAGAAGACATTCTCCTGCCACGTCTGCAACAGCCTCTTTGCCACGAAGGGGAGCCTGAAGGTGCACATGCGCCTGCACACAGGTGAGCGTCTCGAGTAAAAATCAGGAATTAATCCCACCTCGATTCCTTAACAGCTACACTCTATTATTCACGTGTGCAACCCATGATGACACCCACTAGATGCCTATAAAATACAATAGCTGCCTTTTCTGCACCTGACTATAATCCATTGGTTCCATTTAATTAAATACAGGTTCGAAGCCGTTCCGGTGTCCCCTATGCGACCTGCGGTTCCGCACCTCCGGGCACCGCAAGGTGCACGTGCTGACGCACATGCGTGAGCACAAGGGCGGCCCGAAGAGGAAGCCGAAGCAACTCAAGGTGGCCGCGATCGCGGGGGTGGCGGCAGAGCTGGAGAAGACGGTGGAAAGTGGTTCCAACGGCTCCACCCAGGTGCTTTCGGTGGTGCCCCAAGTCTCGCAGGTTGCCCAAATCGCGGAGTATCCGAGCCTAGAGTCCATCACCATCGACGCAAGCAGCCTGACCGATCAGCTGACCCTAAATGGAGATGGTACCATCCTGAACAACAACGCCCTCCTCTCGGTCAACGAGAGCAACCAGCTGGTGGCGAACCTGCAGTTCCTCCTGGCAAACGGGCTCGTGACCATCCAAGCAGAGGAGGGACTGCTTCCTCATCTTCAGGGCGCTGCCGAAGAAAATGGCACTACTCAGCTAGTGGTCGCGGGCCCCCAGGGAACCCTGGTTCCAGTCGAGGCTTCAGAAGGAACTCCGCAGACCTCCGACATCCCTGAAGAGATGATTCTAGGTCTACCAGGGGAGCAGGAAGTTATACCCGGGAAGGAGGCAGTCGTCAGGGTCGAGCCAGGTCGCGGACCCAAGGCCAAGGCCAGCAAGGAGTGCGACATCTGCGGCAAGACCTTCACCAAGCCCTGCCAGGTCGAGCGGCACCGGAGGATCCATACCGGCGAGCGGCCCTTCAAGTGCGAGCTCTGTGCCAAGTCCTTCGCCCAGAAGATCACCCTGCAGACTCATCGGAAACACCACACGGGAGACAGGCCCCATCCCTGTCCGCATTGCGACCACTCCTTCACGCAGAAGGGGAACCTGAGGACGCATCTGAGGAGGGTCCACAGGCTGGACACCCTGGAAACGAAGAAGCTGAAGAAAGGACCTCAGATGCTGGGGACCAAGTCGGGCCAGGAGAACCTCGAAGAGGCCAGGATCCTCAGCCTGGACGACATTTCCTTCGTCGACTTTCTTAAATAACGGGGATGTCGACCTAGGTCTACCGTCGCCCTCCCAGGATGCCGAGCAAAGACGAGCGAGATTCAATTAAATACGCATGCATAGACACCCGAATTCCCGAGACATGGTCTTCGAGTACGCGCCTTTACTTTCGAACACTCTGCACGCGGGTCTCGTACATTACGGGATTCGCTCTCGGTGTCTCGCCCCGACTAGACTGATCTCCAGTTATTTATGATAAATGTGATAACGCTTCTTTCGCGAGACCCGGAGGAGCAGCCTGGCTGCTTCCTGCGTCGAGCAGCCTTGTATATGTACCTTGTACAGTTCTAACAGACCTTTTTAAATAAATCCCTCCCCACTCTCACTCACTCTCTTAAAAACCATTCAAAAGAAACTTTTAGGCGGTATTTATTGACGGATGAAGAAAGTTGCACTGGTCATCGGAGAGGGGACATCCATCGGGGTGGTTCTCAAAGAACCAGCAAGGCTTCGCTCTCTTGATGGAGCCCTTCGAAACCTTCGGAGTCTTCGAAGGGCTCTTTCTCTTGGCATAATCAGCTCCAGGGATTTTCAAGTGCACCGTTCCACCACTCACATGAAATATATGTCCATTATTCTTCAGTAGAGTCTGAAGCCCGCCACATTCATTCTTCAACTGCTTCAGCAACTCCCCAGGAATGACACTCGCGATGCTCTCCAGCTTCATCTGGCCTCCTGCGTTCCACTTCGAGTCAGGTCGACTTGCAGGGGATATCAGTCTTACTTTGCCAAGTAAATGGTTTGCCACAAGGTTGACGATGCTTCCGATTAAACTTCTCTCCAGCTGGGTGCAGTTCTTCACCTTTTCTACGGACTCCCTTGGCTTAAAGTCAGAAGACCACTTTGGAGTTCGAGGGGCTTCAGAGCAGGTTATGAGACCTTTCGATCTCTTACTGATAAGGCTTCGAATCATCTCATCTTGTGCTTCGGAGTGCTCCTTTGGATAGATCCTCTCGTAGCCTACGAAGCAAATTCTCTTCGTAGAAGGGATCCTTAACCTGTCCACTTCAGTACGAAAACCACAGTCCTGACATATGGACTTTACGTAAGAGAGGTATTCGGAGTACTGGCTTTTCGAAGAATCCATCCTTTGATACTTTTTACCATCGAACTCGAAAGCACAGCAAGGCAGGAGGAAAAACCGACAATCGTAGGAGCTCCTTGCTGCAATCACTGGGATCCAGGGCGTCAGCTCATCCGAATGGTTCCCTATCAGCCAGTCCGTTTCAGGGAAAAGATTCGACGAGGATGGCACTATCGAGCGAATCTGGAAGTTTCGAAAATTCACACTTGCTTTGATAAGTCAGCAAACCCTGCATAAAAAATTCATACAACAGCTTCTTTTGGGTACGTACTTCCAGGCGAACGTTCTTGGGATAAGTATCCCAGATTTTTCTTTTTCTCAGATCAATGCCTGACCCAGGGTGTCCTTCGCTGGATAAAATGTACACCAGCAGACCATTTCCACAGCCCAGGTCCAGGAAAGACTGCAGCCTCTCTAATTTCTTCTCCGATCTCTCCTTTTCCCAGAGCAACAGTAGGTACGTAGCAATGGCAATGTCTTCATAGACGAACTTCTTCGGATCGGTATTCTCCGACCAGGACTTCACCAACTCTGGACCATATTTCCTTTTCAGTTCAGTGTAGAGTAGAACGTACCTTTCTGGAGATATCTGGTGTAGCGAGCCAGAGACTAGACCTTCGCTGACTTTTTCGTTTTCTGCCCATTTTAGAATCTTTGGGAGTAATTGCTCCTTCAACCATATCACACTGGGATGACTCAAAGCTTCTTCTGGAGCCCCCACGGTTAAAGAGACCACATTATCTTTATACCGCACTCTGAATGGCCATTTTGCTCCCACAGACTCTCTTCCGGAATCCAGAGATCGGTGAAAACAAGTAAAGCAATTGTCTGATTTATCCACAACTACTAATTCAAGAGTGTCCGAATATCTATCCACGTTACGGGGCAACAACCAATTGACATAAATAAAAAATCTATCATCCGAAGTATCGCTTAAACTCACATCTTCGGAAAGATTAATAAAGTCATCGCCAAGCATCTCTAGCAAAGCTAAGGAGCTCTCACCTTTAATACTCCTTACGATTTGGCACATACATTCCAATTTCTCCCCCCAAATAGGATGATGGGAGCTCAGATCTTTCATCTCCGCACTAAGAACCCTAATCGAAGTCAAAATTCTTCGATTAACAACATGAGGACTGGTCAACCAAATGTTCATCGCCCCCCAAAATTGAGTAGCAGTCGCGCTGCTTGCGCAGTTAACTATGCCCATAAAATCCATCTCTAATAACGAATTAAATTTTATTACAGAAAACTATCTAATCTACTCTTCATTTATCTTTCTTCTGCCCTAAGACAGCGTCCTTGTTGTACTGTAAAAAATAGAAACCACGTAAGAACCATGATAGCCATCGATACCCTCCTTGGAACAACCTCTGACTCGCACTGCACACCTTTTGCAAAATCCATTTGGCATCGGTCAGTGCCTTTTCCATAATCTGCTGAACCCGTTCGGGATCTGACTCCTCAACGTGCTGTTTGAAGCTCTAAAAGGAAAAGCCTCTATGAAGCCCCAAATTGTATCGGTGGGGTTTCCGAATGCATTCAAAGTGAGGTTAGGTTGTCCACTCGCCGCGATCCTCACACGTGCGCAAGGCTCGTTGGGAGATTCGCTAAGATTTCGACTTGGAAAACATCCTACAGACTCACTTGCTTAACAGAGTGCTTGTAAAACCCTTGGGCTTCTCTTGGGAGCTTCTCGCATTCCCTCAGAAGAAATCGGTACAGTCGCTTAGATGAATTGATTCCGAACTCATGGAGGATCGCACCTGCCATCTTTACAGCACGGAGACTATTCGCCATCGTAACCAGCATTCCTTCACAGTGCCCTATACCACTCAGATTTTCTAGTCTCACTACCTTTTAGACTATTCTCTTGAAATTGAGGAAATTTTTCAATTTCTAAAAAGCTCGTGTAGAGTTCCACATTTTCATAACAATGTGCATATTGATTGTTCATATCGGTCTTAAGGAGTACTAACTTTTGTTTACAATTTTGCAGGCCCGACATAAAAATTTGCACAGAACTCCACAGTCTGCCTCTAGGTAAATCAATCCTCTTTAAGAATTAATTATTGTCAAATCAATTTGATTAAGAAAATACGAAAATTTCCATATTTTTTGGACTCGAAAAGTTTACTTGGCGCAATGATTGGGAGAACTGTATTGATTATTTGAATTAGAAGTGAGTACAGGAGCAATGAAGATTATTATTAATTTGTGTATCTCTTACAGGCTTAGTCTGGATAAAAGAAGATGCACTTCTAGTTTCTGCATGTTCCTGTGATAAATTAGACTCCCGGTGTGGATATGCAAAGTGTACTTTGTATTTTCTACATTGTAAGATGAATCGGTCATAGGATGTGGCAAGCCTGTCGATATTTTTCGCGTATTTTGCCATCATACAGGACTGAGACATATGTCCAAATTATGTGCAGTTTACACGGTAATCCCTTGGATTACCACACTGCTGGTTTAATAGGTAAGAGCAACAAAGGCATACTTTTAAGCTGTGTATCAAATTAAAATCTACTTAACTTATTTTTACAGTTATCGGGGATGAGATATTAAAGGCACAGGTGAAGGATACAAATTCCGCCTTCATGTGCAAATTGCTCTACGACTGCGGAGTTAAAGTGAAGAAAGTGAGCTTCGCAATTGAAGAACTAACTTTAATGTCTTTGTAAATGCAAAGTGTTTACAGTTTAATTATTTTCCCTCAGATTTCTGTTATAAGTGACAACGTTCAGGAGATAACAAACGAAATTAGCCATTTTTCACAAAAGTATACCTATGTTGTTACTTCAGGTGGCATAGGACCTACTCATGATGACGTTACATACGAAGGTAAAATATTTATTACAAGCTTGCGACAACTTTGCATAATAACTTCATTACTTCCAGCTCTCGGCAAAGCCTTTGACAGTTCTTTCCATTACCACCCAACATTGGTGGACATTGTCAAGGAAGAATTCAAGATCCAAGACAGGTCCTCACCGGCATTCAAAATAGCCTACGTAAGTGAAAGTTTATTCCTCAAAGAATCCGCTAAAATAACCAACATCAAAATAAAATTATACCAATTAATTATCCACGTTTCTCAGATCCCAAAAGACGCAGAGCTAAAATTTGGACATAGTCTAAAAACAGGGAAAAAACTGAGGTTTCCCTGTGTGACTCTTAAAAATGTATACGTATTCCCTGGGTCACCATGGTTCTTCGAGGAATCCTTTGGCAGCTTGTACAAAGTAATTCTTCAGTTTTTAAGCAATATACAATTTTTTGTCACTGTTTATTACTAATTCTTCTGTACGCAGGAACTCTTTGGAACGAACAGACACTTCGTTAAAAAGGAGATATTCCTCAACGCAGCGGAGGAGACTTTCGCAGATGCATTAACAGAAGTATCGAAGGAGTTCCCACAAGTAACCTTCGGCTCTTACCCAGAAACTGCTCAGTGGTAACTGGAAAATACTCCTTATGACCCATATAATTATAAAGGGTGCAAATTTCACTTTCATTTTATCTAGTTACTACAAAGTACGAGTCACTGTCGAGAGCGACAACATATCAGACACGATGCAAGCAACAGAGCGATTCTGCAGTCTCGCTCCTACGAGAGCAGTCGTGGATTATGACCGAGCTCCTGAAGAGGACCCTGTGGCGAAATATCAACGCTTCAGTAAAAACCATCCAGGGAAATTCTACGACGACACTGTCCAATTGCTCGAGTAAGTCGCAAACTGCCCCGAGAGTCTTTCTACCTTGTTATCAAAATTTCTCGAAATTTCTAGGGGCTTCTACAAGGAACCAAAGAAAGTGGCAATCCTCATTGGCAGCAGTATAAAATCTACAGTGTTGCTGCACTTGGCCCATATCGCGCTGCATCGGCTGCAGAGTGATGCAAAACTGCAAGTCGTATATCGAAAACCTGAAGAGGTTTTCCCAGAGATCGAAGAGTTTGTCAAAAACCTGATAGATAGGTGACTTAAATAATTTTTTTCTCTCAAATCAAATTACTGGCGCATGATTTTCTTTTCAAATTTCATGCAAAGAAATATCTTTTCCAGATATGGAACGGAGTTGACGATCCTTGAGACAAACTCCGAGGAGCTCGTGGACAAACTAGCATTGGCTAAACCGGAGGTGAAGATTCTGCTGGTCGGATCAAAGACCTCTGAATTTGGTGCCGAGCCTTTTAAGGATATCATTAAGTCTACTTTGACAGGACCGATCGAAATCAAATATCCCTTGGCAAATTGGAGCGTGGACCATGTCTGGACAATCGCTAGAGCGCTATCCTTGCCTTACTGCCGACTCTATGATGAAGGGTTGTGATTTTTTCCTTTTCCCTTTTGTACTCACTTTCTGGATTTCACGATTAACATAGAGCACAGACAACAGCCGATAAATAGAAAAATCAGAACCTGCTAACCATACCGCTCATGGACAATATATCTTCTTCATCATACTACCTCAACAATGTCGCTATTTTACTCAATTACGCGTCACTAGCGACCTAAGAAATAATACGCAATAAAGAGATTGAATACTTTGCGAGCCCTTTTTAATTCAATGTTTAACATTTCCCCGTTCGAACAATTGGCGGGGATTCGTTGAATACGTAACAGAGATGAGTTGGTAGATTTTTCACGCAGTCACTCTCTCGAGAGAGAGATCAATTTGAATAGAATAACCTTCCCCGTCGAGCTACTGTGGTCGCAGGTGCGAAAAAATTCACCGGGTACGGGGCATCCCAAAAACGGGCTGAAAACGTCATTTCTGGTAGGGGCCAGTAATCTGTTGCGCCGAAACTGAGGGACAGGTGGCAAGTGCGTTAGCCATCCGCATCCTCCACCGGGGGCAGCACAGAACGATCGCGTCGATCATGAGGTGCCGCGCTCTGGCGGCAGTTCTGGGAAGCACGCCCCGAAATGTCGACTCCCGCCCGACCAATGACCGAGCCCCGTTTCTCTCAGTCCGTCCTGGGCCGCACTTGTTTTCGGCCCGGATCGCGCAGTTGTTTCTCGAAGCCGCGGCACGCAGCGAGGTATCGCGGCCTTCCTTATCCCCGTCGTCGCGGTAACCGGACGAGACCGTATCGGCGCCTTGCTCGTACACGTCAAGAGACACCCGGAGGACCGTGCACCGCGAGACCACGGAAAACCAGGCCGGGGTCGAGCCAGCGGCGTCGAACCGGCCGCGGTCCCGTGATATCTTCCTGCCCCTGATCCCCGGCGACCCGGGGAACGCGGGGGCCCAGCTCTCCTCCAGGACACCTCCTCGGCGAGGATGTCGCAGCGCGACACCGTCATTCACCTCATCGGCGGAGGGTGGGTGCACGTATGAGGACGAGACCTCCTAGTGGAATTCTCATGCGCGATTCGGGCCCCGGCCTCTTCTAACATCGCGAAACGCAGGGCCTACCTAGAGGGCCGATCGAATCCTCCGGATGAGACCTACGCCAAGGTGTTTCGCAACCCGCGATTAGCGCATTTCGGAACGCGCTCCGGCCGCACCGGTTTTCTGCGCGGCAACGTTTCCGCTCCAATTCGACCGGAACCGACCACCGGAAGAGACTTCGACTGCTTCAATCGTTTCCCGTATTTTTCTCTCTCCTATCTTAACCTCGAGCGTCGCAAAGTCACCTTATAACGTTACCTTCCCACGTGAGAGAATTCACGTGAGATCGAACGCCCCGACGAGGTGCGTTCCGAAACGCGCTTGCAGCAGCGAGTAGCAGCTGCGCAGCGACTCTACTTTCGAGTCAACGTCCACTTAACTTATTAATTAATTAACGGCGTTTGAGGAGGTTCAGGGAGAAAAAGGACTTAAGGGATTCGAATGAATATCGAACGCCCCTTGCCGAGTAATAACGGTCGACCGCGGTCGATCTCCGAATGCGGAGATATATACATACGCATTATCTACGTTTCCGTTTACGTTACGTAAATTCCTGGCGATCCTTGTCGGGTTGCGATCCCTTGGAGTCGATCTCTGTAAACGAGGTTCATCCGAATACCCCGAAAAGCCGGGCGAGGTAGATTTCCCTCATATCTCGCGAAAAATGCCGGAAAAGCTCGAAACTCCATTCCAAACTTTTTAAATGATCCTTTTTTATTTTTTATTTCTTTTTCACCGTCGCTCGAAGATTTATCAATAAAATAACAGTCAACCACTCGAGCGACCGAACCAGTGATTCAATATCCCCGCAGGTTCGCAAGTAAGCCTTTACCTCGAGCCGGCGATTCGCAAGCTCAGCGGGAAAGGAAGAGAAGGAAAGGAAAGAAAAAAAGAATAATGAAATAAAAACCGCTGTCCCTACGAATTCCCGAGGACGCGAGGGGGAAGCCGATAACATCAAACTATCTCTCTGTATCTGCCTTATCAGGCCCCAAACGTCGACAACAACGCCGATAGGAGACCCCAAAGGAACCACGAATTGCTCGCGAATTAAGACCCCTCGGAATAAAAAAAAAAGAGAAGAAGAAGAAAGATAAACAACATCTCTGCCTAATTTCGCCAATCGGATGATGAACATATGACTCGGATTATTAATCAAATTCTTCCAGCGATAGTTTAGATTTCCGTACATGTTTAACCGACATAACGAGTTTCTCGTTTCTCAAAAATGTATTTGGCTCGAAACTCTACCGAGTTTTCTTGACAATATGAGGGTTACCTTTAAAAGATTTACTCATGTTGTGTAACGCAAGAGAAATTGTATAAACGGAGTGAAGAAAAAAATATTAACCAGTTCCTGTATAGGGAAGGGTTGTTGAAGCTCGTCGACTCTGCGCAAAGTAAAGAAAAAAAAAAAATAAATAAAAAAAAATGAAAGTGCGCCTCTAAGCGTCGAAAAATCGCGTCGACTTACACCGCATGCGCGCGTAGAACACGAGGAGGATATCACGTTGGAGAATCGTGGCCACGCGATTGCGCAACGCGCCTCGCCGCGTAAATATTGCGCAACGTGAGTGCACGAGCAATTGCGAGGTCACGATGGGGTGGAGGGAGACCCCCTGCGAGGGCTCCGTCCAGGTGCGAGATGGTCGGACCCCCCCGTAGGGGTAGAAACGCGTATAGGGATGCCTTAATAACCGCATACATAGAGATAGAGACAGTCAACAATGGCGGGTGGATCTTTTGACAGTGTCGTTTGCTTGCGAGCAGAGTGGCCGGGACGGTGGGGGCGATCGCCACGTGTCCCCTGGAGGTCGTCAAGACCCGGCTGCAGTCTTCGACCTCGGGCTTCCACCCACCACCAGGCTCGCAGGAGTTCAACTCGGGTCATGTCACCTGCAAGAGCTTCCCTACGCCGCAGCAGAGGCGCCTCTGCACCGGGAAGAACACTAGGTAAAGGATAAACCCCCGGATCGCCTGATAGAGGCTCGAGAATCTTCCAAGGACCTCAGAGAAAAAGAAGGGAAAAAAAACCGCGTCAAAATCGATCAATTTTAAGGGGAAATCGTTAAAAGTCGAGCGCGGAGCCTGATCGGGGTCACGGCTGCGCGGTCAAGGTCAAGGCCAGGCGGTCAGGCTCAAGGCCGCGCGGCCTAGCGCCGTTCCTCGCGCTCTTTGCGGGATTTCCTCGAGATCTCGGAAACTAGGGGTCGGATTTGTCCCGTTTTTTTTTTATAAGACATTTTGTCATTTTTGCCTGGGTCTCCTCTCATTGATTTACGGTTCTTCGCAGGTACTCGCCGATGGCGCTCTCTCACTGCGGCGTGGCGCCTCCAAAAGGGGGCCTACCCCCACCTCCGCCGGGCCTCCTGAAGTGCCTCAAGTACATCTGGAAGCACGAGGGCTATAGGGCCCTCTTCAAGGGCCTGGGCCCTAATCTCGTCGGCGTTGCCCCCTCGCGCGCCATCTACTTCTGCACTTACTCGCAGAGCAAGAACACGTTCAACACGGTCCTACCGCCCGACACCGCCCTCGTCCACCTGTGCTCCGCCTTCTGCGCAGGTCGGTGTACCCCCTCTCACCCCTGACCTACTCCAACCAAATCGCGGAATTTTATTTTTATTTTCAGTTGATTTACTTTTTCTTATTCCAATTCAATGTCCCGGGCGAACCGGCTCTCGCTATTCTCATCCAATTGTCGCGTAATCGAGCCTCGCGCTTATCACCCTCCACCTCTTTTCTTTCTTTCTTTCTCTCCGCCTGAAATTAGTCAGCCGAGGAGGGAAATTACTCTTAATAAATCTGTTTTTTTAAGGAGAGTGAGAGAGAATCGGTCCGAGGGGGAGGTCCCTGATAAGGGAGAAAAGAGAGGGCCGTGCGTCAATCGGCGATTCCGCTCTCGGATCTCCTCTGATAAGAGATAAGGCTCCATCGGGGAGCAAAAAAGCGTCGAACTTGGGACCCTCGAGAACTCGGCTGCGGAGAATCTCTCCGCAAGGGAGCCAACTTCTCCCGGCCGCGCCAAGAGGCGGACTTATAGGGTGGCTCCGAATTGGGGATGAGTCTTATATTATTTTTTCACTTCTTTGTCAGGAATCCCGTCAATTGTTTCCCGCGAAGAAGCAATCGGTCCCCCGGAAGTCCGAAGAAAAATCCGCGTCCGCAATTTTGCGAAACGCCTCTCGGCAATTTCCCAACCGCGACCTTTGACCCGGGATCTCGACAATCGGCGCTCGTCGCGGGGGGCATTTAATCGCTATATTGGTTTTCTCTTCTCTCTCTCCGCCTTTCTCTGGAACGAGAGAAGGGAAACAAGAAACCCAGAAGACCCGTGCTCTTCGTCACGTACGCGCGGGACGGCGACCTCGTTCTTGCTACTCTCTCCCTTCATCGCCCGGCGGCCCTTTTACTTCATTTCTTTTTTTTTTTTTTCCGGGGCCGACGGAATCGCTCCGTCCCGTCGCGGATTTTTTTAAACGACCTCCGAGGATCCTAGACCCCGCCGGTAATTTTATTTTTAACCCCCGTGTATCCTCCTCCCTGGGGGATTTTATTATTCCCCTAGGCGGCGCGCGAACGTCGAGCCTCGACCCACCCGATGTATGACCGAGCCCTGTCAAGTGTCAACTGACACTTGCGTAACCGCGATCGATGCCAATCCGGTCATTACTTGCAATTCCGCGAGACAATTATTTTATCCTCCGATGATTGCCATTTAATTCGATCCTCGCTCTGTAAAAGTTAAAACATACATATTCAAGGCGACAATTACCAAGTAATAAACAGGTCTTTTTGCGCGTTCGTTCCCACCGTTTATCGCGGAATTACCTCGTTCGAAGCGTCAATTATCGGGATTAAACGGACCATTATTGCAAGATCTCTCTCAAGGGGATATTTATAAAACATAGAGAGAGGAGGGGGCAACTGCAACTGCAATTTACCAGACCACCCCCCTCCTTCAATTCCCAATTCTCCATCGCATAACAGGCTAAATCGGGCCTCCCGTGGCTTCTTTAGAAATTGTTTGGGTTACTCGCGAGCGATGAAAAGAAAAAGGAAAAGGAAAAAAAAATTATTAAAATCTTCCCGACATCCCGCAGGACCATGGGCCTCAATGGAAATTTTCCTTTTCAGGTTTCGTGGCATGCACGGCGACAAATCCGATTTGGTTCGTCAAGACGCGGCTTCAGTTGGACCGAGAAACGAACAGGATCACCGCCCTCGAGTGCGTCCGAAGGATATACCAACAGTCGGTGAGTCCTTAATAATTCCATTTAGGATATTTACCTGAAATTCAGGTGATACGAAAGTCCTCGTCCGAATTGGTTTACGAAGCTTTTCTAATTAAACAGAGTGTACTCGTTTGGAATCCTTCCACGTGGATGAGGAGTCCCTGAAGAAGGTCCTTCTCGATTGTGAGATTTAATTTTTTCTATAGAAATTGAAAGGAAAAAAAAAAATGTTTACTCGCGAATTTAAGGAGAGGGAATCGCCCGCGCGTGAGGATCTTCCTCGGGGTCTTCGAATCCACGTGGTGGGAGTTCAAACGATTCGGTATACCCGTTTAGAAAAACAGTTTCATAAACGAGAACCCTCGGGCGCCACTTTCATATCGCCTTAAAATCCCCTTTGAGAAAATGAAAGAGAGGAAGAGAGAGAGCGCAACGAGGGGCGATTTACTCGGCAAAACGGAGGAGCCTCGAGGAGCGGCGAGAATAGCTGAAGAAGCCCACGAATAGCTGATCGAGTCGTTAAAAATAGCCAAAAGAAGAATTACGCCGGTAAACAACCATCCGAGCGATGTTTATACGCATATCTGGGTTGCCGGTTGCCAAATTCGACGTTTCGATCTCCTCACCGCCGAGGTTCCTCAAGGTCGGTCAGGGTCCCTTCAGGGTCTCCTTAGGGTCTTCGGCGACAATTACGATGGATTGAAATCCATGAAGGGCATATCTCGCGGAGAATGTAACGAGTCGAAATGACTTTCAGCTACCTCTGACCCATTTTCACGAGTTTGTTGTCCTCTTCAGGGTTTCCTCGGCTTCTACAAGGGCATCGTCGCCTCCTACGTAGGCATCAGCGAGACGGTCGTGCACTTCGTCATCTACGAGGCCACCAAGTCCTGGCTGAGCGCGCACCGCGTGCGAACGGTGCGCAACCCTGAAGAGATGAACCTGAAGCAGCCCCGAGACTTCGGGGAGTTCATGGCCGCGGCAGCCTTCTCCAAGAGCGTCGCCTCCTGCATCGCCTATCCGCACGGTGGGTAAAAAGGAAACAACGGCGAAGAATTCAAACAACCAATCTCAGTATCCCGCTATCCGCACGTACACGAGACGTACTCTTCGGGAATAAGCGATGCCTCGTTCGCGTTTTTCTAAACATAGCCACGAGGCGCTCCGTGCAATTACGCATTACCCTGACGGCCCTCTCGTTAACTCCGAGGTCCCGATTGCCCGCAATTACTGCGTAGTTTGCGTCCAGTTACCCCCCTCCGACCGCGTGGCGATTCCGCATTTTCCACCAGAATAAAAAGAAAATCCCCGAACCAAGACGACGTCTCGGAGTGCCACGTTGGCTTTCCTCTTTTATTAGTCTGGTAGCAAAGCGTATGAAAGATGTAGGGGAAAAAAAGAAATTGAAAAATTCTTTTCATCCCAGAGGTGGCGAGAACGCGGCTCAGAGAGGAGGGGACGAAGTACCGGACCTTCTGGCAGACCTTGAACACGGTGTACACGGAGGAGGGCATCCGAGGGTGGTACAGAGGCCTGAACACCCAGCTCGCCCGGCAGATCCCCAACACGGCTATCATGATGGTCACCTACGAGGCGGTCGTCGACTTCCTGTCCGACCGTTTCAAGCCCTGCCCTGCTACGAGCAATCCCAGCGGCGGCGCCAACCCCAACGGCAACGGGAACAGCAACAGCCAGTTCTACGCCGAGGCAAAGGCCAAGCGGGAGCTGGCCTAGGACTTGCTGACGGCCCCCGAGTAGCGGGCCGAGCCCAACCAGTGGTCCCTGACCTGACCCAAGCCCCGCGCGGCCCTGACCCTGACCTTGGCCACCACGTGGAGCGCGTGCGGCCTTGGAGGGAAAATTGTATAAAATGTGGAACAAGGCGGGGAAAATGTGGAGAATGTATTGGAAAATGTGGGGAGCCCGGAAAAGGGCGCGGAAAATCACATTAACGCGAGGGAAAACGAGAAGACCCGAGACGACCACTCGACAGGAGAGACGCGTACCGAGTTTCCGAAGATGATTGAAGGGGGACTCGATAAAGTTTGCGCGGTAGGAGACTCCTCGAGAACGAGCACTCGACTCGTAGGTGGCATGACTTCTGAGGTATATGGAATAACTGCACGTGTAAATGGCTACTCCGGGAATTCAGTGGAGGTATTCACGGAGGTATTCAGGAGCTTTTATAGTGACACTCATTTATGGCCAGAAAAGCAAGATAAAAAAAAAAGGAAGTGCGGCCGAATGCGTAATGATAGAATCAGTTTGCTTGAGCCAGCGAGTACTGCGGACCGCAAAGTCTCAGGGGAGAAGTATTTTCCAATTTTCTGTACAAACATTTTTACCATTCCCTCGAAATTTCGGCACGAACGTTGCTGTTACTTCCTGCAAAATTCGACATGAACAATCGCTGGACGCGCGGCAAAATTCTCCGTGCAAATCCGTTGGTAGTTGTTTATTAAATCTCGGTATTGAATGTCGCCAGACGTGCGACAAAATGATCACTGAATCTCAAGAAGCTTCGATCCCTCGCCCTCCCAAAATCAGAATCTTTCGACTTCTCCTTCGTAACTCATTATCATCTACGTGTGTAGGAGGTCCTTACGAGTCAATCAACAAGACTCCTTGAGCCTAGGAATTAATATTACCGAAAAAAAAAAAAAAGGTACACCACGATCGTTCCGTCCTTACATCAACATTTATTAAGCCACCGGAACGAAGGAGCATCCGGTAAAAAAATTCAAAGAGCGACCTCCACCCTCTCTCTCTTTTTCTCTCTCATTCGTCATCATTGAACGAAAATACGCAAAGCCCTCGAGAATTCCCTCGACTTTTCTAAACAGGAATACCGATACTAAAGAAGGAAATGAAAATTCCTGCCGATCTCGAGGGGACAAAAATCATTTTTTTATCGATGCGAGACCGCCGAGGAACGGATAAAGAAAAAGGAATTTTGTACAATCCGAAAAGATCTCTCGAGGCTCTCTGGCGTCATTTAACAATCATTGCAAATGGACGTATTCAGGCCTGGAATCGCGCCTCAATGATCGCGTTTTTTTACAAGAACTCTTTTAACATCAATTAATAATCCTACTCGTCTACGGGATTAGAAAAAGAAAGAAAGAAAGAAAGACCATTATTCTCGAGATGCTTCGCCGAGGGTCGAATTTCTCAACGAGGCGGAAATTATTAATTATTAAGACCGTGTGTACATATACTTAGTTAATAATCGATAACGCGATTGTCTCCCTTCGACGTAGGATTTTTCTCTGTTTTTTATTTCCCCATTTTTTTTTCTTCCTCGAGGCTCAGCCTGTGGGTAGAGAGCGAAAGTAGTTCTTTTTTTATCGTTGTTCATAGAACAACCTGCGAACCTGTTGTAAATAGTCGGTTTTTTAGGGCACTAGGAGATATGCCATTTGTAAACTAGAACTGCCGTGGCAAACGAAAAGGTCGTATATATATAAAAATATATATATATATATATGTATTGTTATCTCTAATGATATTCCTTCGATTTTATTTTTCTACGGTCTCTGTAGGCTAATAAAACGATTTCACGCAACGTTAAACAGTCCTTTCGCGCCTAAAACGAAATGGGAGAAAGTTGTGAAGACTTAATTATATATATATATAAAATGAAAGAAAAGAAAAAATTGAAAAATGCAGACACGACCTTTTTGTTCATCCCGACAGGGTAGGATTTTGTGTATATTAGCAACAATGGGTCTGGAGGCGAGAAAGTATTAGGGCATTATTGCCTTTCCCTTTCCAATTTTTTTTAAAGACTTCCTGAACAAAAAAAATAATCCAACGACGCGAAAAACTACTCTCGCTCTTTTGCTTTAATTGATAGAGGAGAAAAAAGAAAATATTAAAAGAGACCAGCAAAGGAAGGAGAACGATAATCCTCCAGAAAATCGATCCAGGCCCATTTTCTCTCGTCGACGAAACGGAGACCGTATAAATATTTATGTATAAATAATCCGTAACAGAGACGAGCGAGTCTGTGATTTTAGTTTACACCTTTAAACTATTAAGTGCGAAACGACACTGATAAAGGAAGTTAAGAAAACTGGACTTCCTCCGGTATCTGCTTCTACCTTCGATTAATAAAACCCATAATAAAATCAATCGAATCAATGAAAAATCAAAATCCTAGTCCAAAGCGCCAGAAAAAAGGGGGGGGGGGATTTGTTTAAAAAAGAAAATAATCCCACATTATCGCGAGTCATTCTTTTCCTTCCTTCTCTCGTTTCGTCAAACCAAACAAAAAAAAAAACGAAAAAAAAATGAAAAAGGAGGTGAAAAGCGAAAGTAAACCAGGGCTGCGAGAAATATACATATATATACGTTTATAATAAAGAAATATATATATAAGTAGATAAACGTTATACGACGAAAGACTGACTTAATTTTACAGTACTTAGGGACTGATAAATACATCTTAAAATGATTTTCCGGCTTTTCAACCAACTCGCGAAGAGATCGTGTACTTCTCCGTTGATAATTATGACATTCAATAGATTAAAATAAAAAAAAAAAGGAAAGACGGATATTAAAAATATATAATAAAGAGTCGCGTTATACTACAAATATATGATAAGGAGTTATATTGATAATAGAGGTACGACTTTTTTTTTTAAGGAAACACGTACGAACGAAATAAAAGAAAAAAAAAACATATACTGGAATAAGCCCAGGAAATAACTAACGATTAATAATTCAAGGGTCGCGGGAAAGAGCGTCCTCGAAACGATTAACCCGATTAAGTGACATGTAAAGAAAGCTTGACTTTATGTTCCTACGATGTACAAAAATTCGTGTACAGCTCGTGCACTCTCTGTAACGCCTATTACCCCTTGTAATAACCGAGAGCAACAATTAAAGAGGAATTTCGAAACCTTCCGATTATTTTCTACACCTTTTCTTCCTCCACGAGAGTCAAATGTTCCGAAGAAATTCATAGAAAAATAGAAGGAAAAAAAAAAAAGAAAAATACTAAACTTCCCGTAACAATACGCACGACGAGAAATTCGATTTTTCCACAATTCCTTCCGGGATAAATGTTAAATAAAGGATGCAACGAGGGGGATCGAAAAAACGTGCAGATCGCTGAATCGGTGGCAAATTTAATGAAAACGCAAAATATACGGTTATACATCGAGCTTACCTATACATGTATATATCTCTATATACACAAGAAAAGGAAAAGAAAAAAAGAAGCGGCTCTTCCCTTCCTCTATCGATGAACGAAAAATGGAGAGAGAAATAACTGAGATTAATTGAAGGAAAGAAAGAAAGAAAAAAAAAACAGGAGAGGGAGATAACAAAACCAATAACACTTAACCTCGATATATATATATATAAGTATATGATTATGTATTATATGTACACACAGAAATGCGCGCGCGAAAAAGAAATGAATATTTGCGAAGCAGAGCCGTCTTTTTTCCTTTACCTCTCACCATATCTCTCTCTTTCTCTCTGGGACGCGCATACATTCGCTTTCTCCATCCCTCTCTAATCGGCGCTACACATGTACATATATAATCGTACGTATATACCAGAATAAGACTAAAAAGAAGGATCCTGAATAGCGTTAAAAATTCAAGTCGACCTCACTCTCCTCCTCCTCGACGAAGGCGGACTTAACATTTATAACATATTATATTAATAACAGCGCTTTTCTCCAGGCTGGCACAACCCTTAAGGAATTACCTAGAAAAATATCTCTGACCGTGTCCAACTATTGATTATCAATTACCGAGACGACAATCAAAAGCTCAAGCTAATGCTTTCGGAGTCCCTCTCTATCCCGACTTTATTCCATTTTTTTTGTTTTCCCCTAATTTTCCATTTTCGCCTGATATCCACTTCGCGAGGCCTCCACATCGAAAATCAAAACGCTCCTAGAGAGGCTCAACCTCTGAGCAGACTTCAAGAAAGAAAAAAAAAAAAAAAGAAAGAAAAAGAAAAGAAAAAGTTCCTTTAGTTTTTAAACAATTAATCGTATGTCCGAGAGGAGCCGAAGAATTGCCAGAATTGAACGGAACGAAAAGGGTCTTTGTCCCTCCGACTAGTTAATAAAATAATTAATCAATGTCCGAGGCATTCTGTGGATTGGTATCATTTTTAATCACACGGGATAGGAAGTTGCGCCACTTTGCGATGTATTTAACTCGCAATTAATCAGGCCACGGGAAGAGGACAATTAATTAACCAATTAACTAAACTCTCCAAGCGTCGAGGTAAAATGGAAGGCTCGAAGGAAGCGAAGCTGTCTGGGCCCGGAAAGTGGAGATAATTAATCGAGGGACTGTGGTTTTATATCACAGCAAATAACAACGGAAAAACGTTATATCGAGAAACAATACAGAGGAGGGACCAAAAGTGAAAAAGAAGAAAAATGGGAAAATAAACCAGAGCGTGCAATCGCGAGCAAAGAGTGGACGAAAAGTGGCCCTCGCATCTGCCAATCGTTATTTTTATTATTAACATTTACTTCTCTTTAAATGGAAATTATAATAAAGAGTTCTATACAGGGAGACACGTGTACCGGAGAGAAAAGAAAAGAAAAGAAAAAAAAAATAAGAAAGAACGACAACCGCGAGGAAGCGAATTTCCCGATCCGCCAGTACCCTTCGTCGGTTTTTATGTTAAGTGAACGTTATAAATATTCTACACAGGCGAGCGTATATATGCACAGAGATATATGCATATGTATACATACATGGACGCTCTCGTCATCCTAATTCGTAACTATCTAAACTTCTATCCATAATTACTAGCTGGAGGTACGTCATAAATATCAATCGATGAGGGAGGAATTTAATGTTACACTATGTACAAGGAGGAGGTACACCATCGGAACAAGCTTGTTGCGTAGCGATTCCTAATCAACACCCCCTAAATATCTCTTCTTTATCAATGTTCTGGCAGTGCCTAGTATTCCCCGAGTTTCTCTTTCTTGCTAAAATAAACCACACTCTGATGTTAACGTCAGTCGTAGCTTCTACTTCCGAACAATTTCTCAAGGCGTTACCTTCCTGACCATTGACTTCCTAAATTCTGGACAAGTCCAAAAGAAATCCATTCCATTACAGGAGAAAGCAATGAGAGAAGCCAAATTATGCAAACTGTAGGAGTGTGTAAAGCAAGCAAAAATTTCATTCTTTGCATCGAGTGAGATTCGGATGCATCTTTCGATAATTCTATTTCTCCATTAGCTCTGATTGTGCTCTCTAAGAAGCAAGCCTACGAAAGCTTTCGTTCCTTCTGTCAAAGGAGGTTGTAAAAAAAAAATTAGTTTTATCTAGAAATAGTTCCTAAATAATTTGTTAAAAGTTAAGTGTCAAGATTGGTTAGCGATGACTATTTGTTTGGATCTGGGTGATCGTGTAGTATTTCCCTGATAAAAGTGGTTAAAGACACTGAACGGACGCTGAACGGATGTATTAAAAAGATTTCCCCAAATCTATACAAGTTTCCTTTCTTCCACTGTATAAGGTTATGTGTACGTTAGGTTATGTGACATCCATGTATATACCAGTATTTTCCTAATATTTATAAAAACGATTTGACTGTTTTACCAGGAAGGTTCAGAAAGGATTTATGCACCAGATTTATCCACTTGACTACAATGGGTGATCGACAATGAGTGACAATGTACAATGTACCGGAAACCAAGTTAGACACTCGCATGCTTTCCAATTTGACAGGAATTCAAACATACTCTTTTTTTTTCTCCTGCCAGAGGAGGTTTGGAGTGGAAGACAAGTCTGATATTCATTTAAGAGAACAAAAACAGTAAGAAATAAAATGTTCCACCTTGACAGATCATGCGTATGCAGTTTAAAGTTACGTTCCCTTTCGGTATGAAAAAAAAAAAAAAGTTGATCAATAATACTATATAATAACGCGACAGTGTGCAGAATCAATTCATCGATTATAAAGATTCATAACTTCGGAAATTAAATCAAACCATTTAAAGTAATACGATTGTTTGGGTAAACACGTGTGGGCACTGTTTACGAATGAAATTGATTAAAATATGTGTATAATGATCAACATGCAGCATTCACATACAATGACATGAGCGTTCCTGGGCACGAGACAGCAACATAATCTGTAAATATATAAACGATAGGAAACCTTTCACCTCTGGTGTAAAGGGTGGTAAGGAAATTGCTGACGTGTCTCTATTCTATTTGTAATGCGTATGTTGTGAGACAGATCAGTCACACGATTTCACGATTGACTTTGACATGTAGCCTAATTATGTAAAGACCAAAATGCAATGTCCATACTTCTAACCAAACACTACTTTGAGAGACCATGAAATCCTAGAAAGGGTTCAGTCTGTATAACCCTCCTATTTTGCTTTAACAATTACTAACAGAAAGAGTACTCTGACAAGGGAAACCGGACCATTAGCAAGTTCGTTGGCTTTACAAAAGTACGAAAGTATAAAAAAAAAAAGAGCCGGACACACCAGAAAGAGTCGTTCACTCGCAGACTGGGCACCGAACGATTCCGAAAACATCTGCACCGAATCATCAACAAAAGAAACAAAATAGTATCGTTCAGAGATCCTATCTGTCGAGCCTAACGTACAAGTAATTAAACCGCTCACACACTTGCAATCACTCGTTCACTTGTTCACTCGTCGCGCACACGCAATTAAACTAAGGACTTTTAACACGATATCGGTACTCCATCTTCTGGTATCGTATCTTCCAACGCAATGGGATCAGCGAGCCCACGAGCTATTAATTCGTCCGCTACCGATATCACCTGTAAACACACGTTAACAGTGGCAGATAATACCATTTTGTGATCGATCTATTGATCTCAAGATGACATTCTAGTGTCACAATGAATAAAGTAAATTAGATCTTCAGTAAGAAGTGCACTGACCAGTATAACTCAAACACGATACGAAAGGATATTTCAATTCTGCCTCGGTAATCATCACACGAAATATTCTTTTTTCCAATCGTCAACTGTGCATTACCAATTATATCGTAAACACTTTCATTTCTACTTACCCCATGCTTCTGGATGTTGAGATATAGGCTTACGTAAACATTTCCATTAACGTAGCCCTCAATTTGTGCTTGCCCAACAATTCCCGAACTTATATGGCCTACTAAATCATAAGCCTCCTGGGTCCATTCCCCTGTTAAATCAAGACAATTACAAAAAGTGTCCGGCAATAACAAAACCAACCAGGAAAATGACATGAAAATCTGAAAAAACTGAATCGAACTTACCGTTCCTTGGTTTCACATTAGAGAGGAAAACTTCAATAGCTTGGAACGGTAACGTTAGATAATCCGTTCTCAGTGACCTCATGTCCGAGTTGCTGAACGTCCAGTAACCACCATGGTCGACAAAGCGAACCAAGTGCCTCTCCCCAGCTGGATCAGGGTTTTCGATGTACACCCTGACCCACTGGTTGTACCACTTGGCAGCAACGATCATGCCTCCTGAAAGCAAGAACAATTTATTAAATAATTTAACCTCACTTTTCAAAAATAAATATTGAAACTTTAATATAACACACACTTGTAAGACAATTATTACAGATCAGGTGATATATTATGAAGGCACAAAGGCTGAGTATAAAAGACGGATGTGAACTTACTGACAAGCTCGTCAGGGACTGGAGGTGAATCGGTGTTGTTATACAACAATGTCATGTTCTCATCCAACATTCGAAGCGCAGGATACGTGGGATGTGTCGGCAGCTGAACAAAGAGCCGATTGGGCCTTACGATGTTACAAACAAGCACATCATTGTTCACAGCTTCGACCAGCGAAAGATGCATTAATTCAGGAACCCAGGGTATAGCTTCAGGCAGCCTGAGGTAAGAGACTGGATCCAGAGTCAGATTGGGGTACCTCTCCTTGGGGAATAGCTCCCGGATCAACTCGAGGGCAATGGCAATTCCTTCCTGGGAACCCTTGATCGAGCAGATCTTGTTGTTCTTCACTATCATCTCACGTTTCACGGAAATGTTCACATCTGCCTTGATACGGATGCTCTGCAAAACGCATCCTCTCTTGCCGATCAGCTTTCCAACCAAGAACTGGGGCACAAGGAACTCGTAGTTAATAGGGTCAGGGTGTTTAATATGCCCCTTAATACTGCCACCTGAAACAAGTTAGAGAAAAACCATAAAGACAACAAGAAAGTTGCAATGCAAGTATATACGTACAGCACCTCAATCGTATCTTACCTTTTCCACTATCCATACTGCCCTCGCTCCTAGCTTCATCCGTGATGCTGCCTTCCAAAACTCCAGACACAGGACTGTGGTTGGCTGAATCTCTCTCGCTTTGTTGTGCTTGACTCTTGGATTCGTTCTCGGATTGGTCTTCATTGGTGGTATCTTCCTTCTCCTCCTTCTCGGTGACAAGCGGATCACCGGTACATTCTGGCGCAGGTTCTTCGGATGGTACGGCCGGTACAGGAACCGACTGCTCGAGGTCCACGGTCGCTATCGGCTTCTCCACTTCCTTGATCTCACTGACCGTCTCGAAGGGAACAATTCTGCTCCTGGACATCATCTCCAGGCCGGTCGATCGGGGGTTGCTGCCCAACTGAATCTCCCTCATCTCCGGTACTGCCTCCACCTCGTCGTACCAGGGTTTGCTACCCTCGGATGAATTAGTCGACCGTACGGAGACCGACCTCGACAAGGACTTCCTTGTAGGAATGTCCAGGCTTTCACTGACTCGCCTCGGTGTGCAGGCTGCCTCGCTGGATGGACGTTCCGAGACGTTAGAGCCAAACGAGTCGTCTGAGTTGATCCCCGAGTCGCAGAGGTTCGGACTCGGGGTCTTCTTGGCTGTGCGGTCCAGTGTGCCTAGTCCACCTGGGTCAGCTCGGTCGATTCGTCGTTTCTTGTACCAGAGCAGGCCCAGGACTAGTGCCAGTGCCGGGAGGCTCCACTTCATAAGCTGCAGACGTACAGCAGACATATTTGATGTCCACGGTAGCTGGCGTAACTCAAACCCCTAGGGAACTGCAACAGAGAGACGAGTAACAGATAATAATTAAACCACTATTTGCAACAAGGAGGCACGTCAAACTGAATCGACCTCTCCCATGAGAAGCATAACAAAGAAATGATGTTTGAAGAAATGATGGAAATTCTCAAAAATCCAGAAAAGGTATCTTGAGTCGTACGCTGGGAGACATCAACGCCCTCCCATCCTGCACAGGCGATGTCGCATCTGCAGGGGAGGCATTCATGTCCGCCATTGCACCCTTCTTCTGTACTCGCCAACTTACTTAACATTTATAAACGAAAAGTCGCTAACGACCAACTCTAAGAGCAGCTGTGTACATAGTGAAGCACCCAGCAACCGTCGGGGGCGCGATAAAAAAATTGACTCTTCGCCTCTTTAGATGTGTCATTTTTAACAGTACGTCCTACACGCATGTTGGACCCGAATAGCAGTTTACATCCATTTAGATTTCAGTCCACGCTCTCTGGGTGCAGCAAGAAAACTGCATCATGAATGGAGAAGTAGAAAAGGAATGCAGAATCAGGGTGAACGGACGATGGCGAAAACTAGCCATTACCAGACCCCACGAAATTCTGTAATAAAAATCCCATTCAAGTGTTCCGCGTCCAAGCACGTCGATAAAGACATCAGAAAGAAGAATAAAAAAAAAAAAAGCGCAAAAGAAATAGCGTGCCGATTAAACCACTCCAATCGATCGATATCGATTACGATTCTAAACCGTGAACGTACACACATATGTTTCCTCCTCAGCCGAGCAAGCACAATTAAATCTAGATAAAATGACTTCCCATCTCGCGCCATTACCCCGACATTTGTATCTACGATCTTGCAAAACATTAAAAAGTAAGACGCCCAACGAAGCGCGCAAGAAGAATCCGCAAAACCTCCGAGCTGAAGAGGAAACGTTGTGGAGTTTTTTGGAGCAGAAAAATTAGATAACATACCGTTCGAGGAAGCCCGAGGTAACGAGGGAGAAAAAAAAAAAAAAAAAAAAGAGGGGAAAAAACGTGGCATTAGAAGTCAAAAGCCGGAGTGTGACTGGCCGACTTACTGCGCGCTCCATGTCTCCGCAACGATGACCAGCCGCTTTGGAAGTATGCCCGGAACGGCGTAGAAAAAATTGCGCAAAAAAAAAAAAAGAAAAAAAATCCTCCCGTCAATTTTGTCACCGTACGATCCACCGGAGGACTCTTGGCGAGCCCATCGACGAAGGTTCGATCGGAAATAAATGATCGAATACCCGTATGGAGAGCGTCGATGTCGCGGCCACCGAGACTCGGTAGGCACTGCACCGCTCTCTCGCCGGCTTTCAACACGTGGCGGATCCGGTGGGGCTTTCATACATACATATCCAACGCATGCGCCCAAGATTATTCCGTTATCGTTCTTAACTACGCTCTAGACGTCTCTCGATGAATTCTATCCTCGATATCCGGGATCGATTCGCAGCTAAACGAGCCCAGAACCTACGACAAAAGCGTCGTCAAAGGTACCCATAAAACAAAATCGTTTTTTTTTTTTCTCTCGTTCTGAAAGAACCCGAAATCCAGGGAACAGGTGAATCGCTTTCACCTCTCCGGATGACCAGACGACATCCACGGTCCCAAGGAACGCGTTTCGTGGGATCGGTTCCACGTTTCTTGGCGGGGAAAATAAAAAAAACGCGTTCTTCAGGTCCGTCTTCTCTGTACCTAGGGTACAAGCCGACTCTCCAACGTACTCAACGATTCGGCGAATAGTTCCCGACGATGGGTGTTATTGTTTGGCAAATCGCAACGAGAGGGCGAGAAAGAGTAATGCCTCATAAATCGGGGATTGCGATCGGCCGGAGGTAATTGCGATTCCGCGGATCGAGGCCCATAAAACACGAGGTGCTCGTAGCTGGACCATTCCCAACGCGTGGTGGAGATCTCGCAGACTGTTTTCCGGGTCCTGGAAAGATGGCCGATTTTCCTCGTGAGTTGGAGAAAGAACTTTTGAAAATCTAAGGATCGATACGAAGCGGGAAGGAATCCGTACCCAGCCTCTTCCGATCGACATTGAACCGAACGACCGCCTTGAGAGACTGGCGACGTATATGCAAATGCATCCTGATAAATTGGAATAAGGAAATCCGCCGTCGCGGGCACCCTTGGGAGAGGCACCTCGAGCGGTGAAATACACGTAGAAAGGCTCGTACGACTCGACTGGCCAGGCCAAAAACGAAAATGCCGAACGAAAAACCGGTAAGACCGCGAAAGATCGGATCGGGGCTACGCCCGATCGAGAAACTGGGTTACGCTCCGAACTTCCCCTTCCACGGGCCTTTGGAAAGCGTAAACTGCCCAAAAACCGATAACGAATCTAAAAAGAAATAGATGATACTCCACATAAGAATATTACAAACAATAAGAATCACCCGCAACACAAGAGAATGGGTAAAACTGAAAAGAAAAAAGCTCCAGCAGGACCGAGCGGCGGCCATCTTGAATTCCCAGGTTCCCCGCTCATTTCAAGCGAACACAAAGAAGGGAATAATTTCACAATCTTTATATTCTTTATATGCAATGTGCACCCTGGACATGGGCCATCGAGTGTACAATCATTCGTAGAATGATCCTAAGCGCTGCCCGCTGGATTTACCGGTTGTAAATAATATTTCTCGAGTTGCAGTTAGGCGTGCACGATTAATCAGACGGCCTGGGGTATGGCGGAAAGCCGATCAGAGGATACGAGCTGAGGTTGCGTGGCTCGAGTTGGCTGCAAAGTGCGGATATGCACCGACAGGAGTGAAGGTGTTCGCGGTTCAACGTGCGCTCGGAATGTGGAGCCTACAAGTCGATGAAGTAACCAATCCGGAGATAAGGATGAGGGAAGTGAAGCCAGATTTAAGGGAAATAAAAGGCCAGGAAGGAAACGGGAGGCGGTAAAAAAGGAGAAGATAAAAACAAGGCCTCCTCCCATCTCCACAGGTGGACAAATCAGCTAAGACATTAAACGCAATTAAAAAGACAATATGGTAATTCGGAACATTAATCGGGACTCCTTCGACACGTTATGCTAATATCATATATGATATATCATTTAGAAATTCAGTACCCTAATAAATTGAATTTATAAATGTATTAATTCCCTCGGTGATCGATTATAGATCAACGCAATATCTAGAATTATTGTTTATTGTTCTGTTTCTAATGTTTGAGCTGGAATAAAGCCCCCTGCTCGAGGAAGAGGCTCGAGGGGAGCGGCACCTGGACCAACGTCCCAAGGCGATACTTTCTCTCGTAATTGAAGTAAAAAAAAAATTACAGGCTCTACAAAACGGAATGCACTTTCGTTATACCAAAACTCCATGATAAGTTGGCTTAACTGAAAAATAAATGTTTATCGAATTGACGCACCGAATTTCAGCGTTAAGTATTAGAGGTGCCGTTCGCTCAGGCTTTTAAATGTATTTGGCGCGAGACTCTACCGAGACTTTCCCGATGATCGAACACCCGGGATATCTGTCGCGAATCCCCCCACAAAGCCAGGCTAGTTTAGTAGAAAGTCGGCGAGTTCTTGCTCTCGATCGGGAAAGGATCTATTTTGCGTGCCCTATCGTGGACGACTCCCCTTCGCGTCGCACCTTAATGAAACACCCTGTCCGATAATTTGCCAAACCAAAGTCATAAACCAAAACGTCAGCTCGTGAGTTACCGGTTTTCATTGCCACTCGCTCCTTACCCAATAAAGATAGCGACGGAATGAAAACCGCTGAGCTTGTCGCCGCTTCGAGGCGTCCATCGCCGAGTCAGCGGTAACGAAGCGCACCTGGCAAGTAATAACGATAAAAGAAAAATAAATAATAAATGAGAGCAACCTGTTGCACGGCAATTTTCCAGTCTTTTCGTTCCCATTGCCGATAACGCCAACCGGATTGACCGTCAAGAAATCCTCCTCAACATAGAATTCAATTCTAGAGGGTCATGAACATCATGCATGAAGAAAAAGTGCATAGTAAATGCAATTAATTCATATTTATTGACCCTGTATCATGTGCCTTATATGTTCACGTGTCGTGTATCACATTATGAGATAAATATGAGTGTTATACGGAGACGCACAAGAACATGAAGTTAATGTGACATGAATTTATCTGAGAAGACGCCGAAGGTCGGAAAATTCGGCAATTAGAATCGGAACAAAAAGAGACGACCTTCCGCTGAAATAAAATCGTACGTAGGCGGTCAAGGCACGTGTCGTTAATCTCTTGGCTTTTTATCGCTCTCCATCGACCTCTATCGCTTTACCATCCATTATAACCAAGTCCCGATTTTCGGAAATTTGCCGTTTTCAAAGGTTGCTCTCCTTAAATATGGGTTATCTTTTACGCAGATTTTTTTTCTCGCCCTTTTTGCTTCGGTTAGGTAAACGCGGTCCTGTTCGCGTCCATTTTCACGTATCACCGAAGATCTGTCCCATCAAGGCTGCTAGGAAAAAAAAAAATCCGGAAGGTCGTACGTTCTAAACATACATTCCACGCGGTTGCGTAAACCAATCGCCATGACTTGAAATTAAAATCTAAACGAAAGCAAGGACTGGAAATTGGATCTTTCTAATGCTGGGTCAAAGAAAGTCCTGAGGCAGTGAGTTTGATTTTCTTCCGAAGCCTGACTTTGAACGATCCACTCCTTCTCAAACAAAATGCCATTTCCCAGTTCGCTGCAACGTCTTCCCAAAATCCTGCGATTCCGAAAATCCTCCTACAATTAAACACGAGTATTTAGCACGGTGTAACATGATACAGTTGCAGGAATTGCTGATCAGAAATAGAAATATTCCATTCGGTTAGGGTCTCGATGCTGTAACAGCCAAAATACATATTTCTCTAGACGAAATTTTAAGCATATGTCGATAACCAAATTAGGAAGCATACCAAACGGTACAGAGTTGTAATTTTTTTTTTTTTCATCAATACAGAAAACTACAAGAATATCCCCTTAATGCATGCCTTCTAGGATACACAGGTTTGGTTTGAATGTTCTGTATATTTGGAGGCGATACTTTTTTTCCACACTGAGTATATATTATTTTCGTCGCAAATAACAACAGAATATCGATACAAGGTGAAATCGGTTCATCCCTGCACGAACCGTCCGATCAGCTGATCGCACGTCAGCCTCAGGTGAAAACGCACCTGCAGCCATTTCGAATAATCCTAATCACATTGCGCGACAGGGACACCACGGGCCAGTGAAACCAAGATCTCCACAGGTGTCCCGAAATCACGTAATCGACGATGGAGGCTTCCATTCCGCCGTATCTATTTCCAGAGATTGGGCGATCTCTCCACGACCCGGCACTAGGGGCGTGAACGGACAAAGGCCGTCCAAAATCCGGGCAAAATGGCTCTAAACCTAGGAAAAGTGGCCCATCCCATAGGATCCGACCCCAGGCGGAGTTTCCGACCATAAGGATCGTTCCTCATCAAAAAGAGCCACCGCAACACCGAGAGAGCGTTAGGCCCCAAAGGCGTCCATGTTGAGGCCGAAACCTGACCAGGTGCCGCGTGCCACGGCGACCAAATTCCCGGAGAGCCGGTCGCTATTAAAACCCCCACACCCATAAAGAAAACCGAACGAAAGCTCATAAACGTCCCCGATTCCAAATTGAGGACGGGGGTGACGACCAGTGCGGAATTTCTCGAAGAAAAAGCCGCACCGGGACGCCGATGGAAGCGCACGAGGCGGCACAAGGCGGCCGCGGATCCGGCTGTCGATTTACTCACCAAACTGCCGAAAATCCGGGTCCTAGCTGACGATGGAATTCCAAGACCCGTTCAGACACCTCGGTGCGACGACTTGGGACGAGAATTAGGGCTCGCTGTCGCTGATTTCAGCGGTAGTCTCCTTCCACGTGATCACAATATTTTCTTGCCTTCCTGAAAGCCAAGATGGCGGCGCGTGTAACGAGAAGCGCCGCATGTGCGCCCCGAAGAGTCGACGCGGAGAGCTGTTCGGGTCCCCGATGGGAGCCGAACCGGTTCCGAAGACGAAGAGGGAGGGGTGGCTCGAGAGACCGCAGATTCGCGGTATAGCGACGTCTCTCTCTCTCTGACGCCTTCGTGTGAGTTAGAGAGAGAGGGCGTGGTCTCTCGGCTCCTAGCCCCGGGGACCTGGTATAGGCAGATGGCCGAACGAATTAGGCTCCGCGCTTATCGCCGCGCAGGCTGGAGAGGTCATGACGACTTAACTTGAAAACGAACGGACGACCGGTTCCTTGCTCCTCACCGGAACTTTTTTTTCTATAAAAAGCGGAGAGGTCTCTGTCGATATCGAGGGGTTTAATTCACGGCTTGATGAAATAAACAAGGAACTTCGTCTGAACTCTGTCGCGGATGTTGGTTAAGATTGGGTTTTTGAATGGGGCGGTCAACTTTCCGGAATTGAGGCGTTTTCATGGGGAGTTTCGAATGATTTTCAAGGAAATTCCCGCGAAGATGTACAAAGAGTCGTGCAATGATCTGATTAATTATCGATTACATTAATGAGTAAGGAAAACTTTCGTCTCCGTTTTCGATGGGATTTCTGCTGGTCATTATCGAGACTTGAGGATTAAAGATAGCCTTCTTCGCTAGACCTATGCTTTTTCCGGAACTCCCTGCATTGAGCAAATTTCAAATATTAAGATATCTAGCATGAAACCGGTATCTTAACCCTGAGTAATCCGAGGTATACATATATAACCTACACGTGCCCAAGGCGTGGGTTCGTGTCCGAGCTACTCGAATTACTTCTCGGCACCTGTGTTCTGTTTTACCGCAAGACTTCGAACTTCCGTCCTCTCTCTCGCGATTCCAACCTATAAAAAATATGTAAATAAATATTCGAAACGCGGAAAAGCGCCCAATTTACGCATTAAAGCCCTGCAAAAGGTCATCGGGAATGCACCGAGTGGTGCGTCCGGTGTGTTAAAATTTGCGGCAGGATTTAATTCGCATAAATTGTGCATTTTTCAGGTGCATTTCGAGCGGGTGTTCGACCACTTCGGGAGGGCAGAGGGCGAAGATGCGACTTCGTTACGGTGCACTTTGATCGCTGTTAACGAGTTAAGAACGGAAGTTACTCCATCGTTCGGGCTTGATTGTTAAATAGTAAAACAGAACTCAGCAAAACGGCGACTGGAAGTGACTAGCTTGATTTAGAGTTCTAACATGGTTACAATTTGTTGAAGCGAACGGAACATGTGCGGACACCCTGTGACTTCCACAGAAAGCATGATTTGCATGTTGTGGCTCGCGTTTTAATTTATTATGCCTAGTGAAGGTTAAGATTACGGGAGAGTAGTTATCTAACTGCAGCCATGGCTGACTCTGATGCGAATAATAATAATATCCCGTTAAGAGAGAATCTAGTAAGTTCTGTCAATTTATGGACCACTCGACTTATTTAACTTATTTGTTATTGTGCATTTAGTGTTTGCAAAAGGATCGTTGATCATTTCGCTGTGTCGCAGGTGAACACCGCAGCGAAGTTCTTGCAAAACCCAAAGGTATTGGCTAGTCCGCTAAAGCAGAAGCAGGAATTTCTGAAGAGGAAGGGATTGACGGAAGAAGAAATTCAAAGAGCTTGTGAATTATCTTCTACAAATATTAACTATGATCACATTTCACGGAGTCAGAACGAGTTTACGGCTATTTCAATTCCGTATGCTCAACGATACCCTCCATACCATGGTCTGCAACCGGTGCAACCTACGTTCTTTCAAAAAGTAAAAGAGTTCTTGAATGCAACTGCTTTGATTGGTGCTACGCTATATGGGATTTATTGGCTGTACAAGGTAGGTTCGTCTTTGGATTACCTATATCCATGGACATGTGATGTTAATTGTTAATACCAAATTGCATTCTAACCAGAGGTTCATTGAACCATTCTTGTTTGGTCGCAAAAAACGCAAAACGGTGGAGGACTCTGTGACTGACTTAGACAAGACCATTCAAGATTCCATGAAGTCAATGAAAGACTCAATTTCCAAGGTGGAAGATGACGTGAGTAAGTTGACTCAAAGCCGGTCTTCAGACCTTACCATTCCGCAATTAGTGCAAGAAGTGAAGCAAGACTTAGCTAGCTTGAAAGCAATGCTTTTATCTAGGTATGTTATTCCCTCTTCATTTATAATTTAATGTCAAAGTAAAATTCACTTAATTATACTTATTCTTGCAGAAAACAATTCCCAAGTACCCCTCCTACGATACCTTCCTGGCAACTGGATACGTCGACTCGTAACCAAGAAAAGACTACCGAACGAGAGGATGATGCCGGCAGTGGCAGCAGCACGAACAACTCCGACAGTTCCTTAGAAATGATCCGTGAAGATCCTCCAAAGGAATGAGTGATTGGTGTAATGTTCACATCTTGATTAATCTATAATATACTTATTTACAAACCGTGATACCTGTGATTAAATCATTACAAATATTTTTCTTATATCACCGTAAACCATTACCAGGAGATATATAAAGAAATTGTTAAGGGAAGCAATCACGTTTTTCTTGAAATCAATTTTATTTGATATCATTAGCTTTCTTCGGTGCGGTGTAAAGGTGAACATGAAACTGCACATAACCATGACTATAGAGAGTTTATAAATTTAATAATAATTCCAATAGTGTTCAATAGATTGACTGACATGACAAGTGGCTGTACAAAAAAAAAAGAGAGTCCCACCTGCAGCCACTGCAAAATATAATTTATACATATATATGTACACACAGTATCTTAAGAAAAACCAAGACAGGGGCTTTGCACCTTTGACACACACAAAACTAATCAAACGATCTTTGTACACGTACATATCCATATACGTATGTCAAACAGCATTATTCCTACATATTCAATGAGAATCGAGCCCATGGCCCGAAACTACCCATCACTTCTAACCAAAGTACGCTCCAGGACAGTGTAACATGATAAGATTCAGCGTAATAACACAATCTGAGTGCATCAATTAATAAGTAGTTTCCAGTAAGAAGGTTCACTCTCGTTGAGTTTTTTCTTCGCATCAACTGAAGAGGGAAAAGCTTTGCCAGCTTCGATCAATCCCTCCTCACTAGCTTCGAAGTTTTCTTGGCTACTTCGATAATCTTATTGTTATATTAAGGATTCGTTAAATTTAATATATATACATATATATTAGACTTAGCCAATTTAATGCATGTATATGTATATATAGCTCGCGCAAATAATCAATTTATATGTATTTCTGCTATATATATCCCCACTTATGACATAATCGAAGATCGCACACTCCAACGAGAATCAGTCGCTCCTTACAAGTTACATGTACACTTGGCGGTTCTAATATGTACAAACCATGCAATGTCAATAGTCTATAGTGCACCAATCCTGTCAGACAACTGCACAAAGGGTTCAGCTTCGCTGACGAACCGCTTCATTAGGCATCGGTAATAATTTCTGAGGACACCAAAGTAGAGACAATAACTTTGCTTATTGTAAATTCTGTTTTTTATAATTGATTTAACAAGGGAATAGTGTTCGTAAAATTGTTTATAGGAGCATAATTGGTTGATGGAAAGTTCTTTCGGCAAAGTCATTCATCCTGTGCTTGTATGTAAGAAGTTAGACAGCGAAGCTGTTTTGGCAGCTTCTCCGATGTTACTTTTCTGTCGATCGAGTCACCAGCAAAAGTCCAACAAAGACAGTAATTCCGTTGTTTAGTAATATTTATTAATACTCTTCATTAGATTAGATGTGTACTTAGGACTGCTGCCTCACTGATACAGTAAGTTACAGCAAAGCCCCTCTTTCTCTCTCTCGCGAGCCTGACTTAGTACATCGGTTCTCAGCCATCCTAGGTCACTCACCGATTGTTGGCCAAGTAATTACACGCTGACATTTTTATGAACTAGAGACAAGCAGTATTGGTTGCAACTAATAATTCACACAGTGAATAATTTCCACTCATTCTGTCCAATAGTCAAGTCAAAACAACAGCTGATTAACCGAAGACCAGTGATAATTAAATAATGTGCAATTAATAATACAACATAATTAGCTGCTGTTCCAATCCTTAGAATTTTCAATCCTGGCTCAATTATTGTAAATATCAAATGCGATAATGAATTAATGATTATTTGAATTGTCTTTACAACGAATGCTGCGAGTCTCCGCGACAGTCCACCCCGGTGGACCGGCAATCACCACAGAATCTACCTAAAAGTGCCGCTGACGCGGTTTCAGGAATTAAAATTAATGGATTCGAGACGCTACCGAGTCTCCGACAATTTGAGCGAGGGAATCCCATCGATGTCAGGCGAACAAAAGACATTGTATAAGTAATGACTTGATGGAATGACACTAGGATGCTTTGTGCTGACATAAGTAGTGGTTGACGTTGCCCCGGTTCCCCTCTGTAGTGTGCTTGACATGACCTCAATTCCCATCGAGCATTGAATTTATGAACGGTCTATGACCTCACCTCAAAATTGATGCCATTGTTAAGTGTGGAGAACGAGCTTTGCTTGCTTTCACATCACACCGATTACTTTATGACTGACCATGACTTACCGATAAGCCATAACCTTTCTGGCTCTTGCAGACCATTCTTTAGAGAGTCCGAGATGTTCGGCTCGTTTTTTTTTACCTTGGGTAGCGTCTCAACGTCCCTGGCTTTTATATTAGTGTAACAGTCATAATCCTAGGCTAGACACACTAAATCGTTAGCAGCTCGACTTCTAGTCTAACTCTGGGTGGTTTCCTCGAGAGTGGAACTATTGCTACCAGGTATGATGCAGATGTAGGTTCCGAGAGAGTACGGAACGCACGTCCTGCGTGAAGCGCAGCGCGTCCAGGACTGGGAGGAGACTTAGCAGTGCCGTGTCACCTGCGTCACTGAACCATGATTTAATCGGTATGGCGTTGTCTACAAAGAAGATCCACCGATTAGAAGTTGGAGGGCCTAATGTAATCACAAGTAATTGTATTCGCAACGTGAAACTCACGTGGATAGGCTCTGTAGGCCCCAGGACTGTTATCCAGGATGAAGACCGACGCCAAATCCGAGCAAATAGCTGCAAGGTCCTTGGTGTAGGAACCCATCTCTGGTGTACAGTGCTGTCGGTAGTACCTGCGTCTCAGGATACCCCGATTGTTGTCCAGCTTGTCTGCAACGGCTGCACCGTAGATCTCCATGGACGCCGTGAAGACGACCAGTTCGTACCTTGGATTATCAATCGACATTTATCATAAAACAACCTCCAATTCACTCATTCAAAATAATTCGGTTAATTGTCACGAAACCCACCATTGACTAACAATGTCCAAGAAGAAGTCCACATGGGGCCTCTTATGAACGAAGAATCGGACCGGATGTCGGTCTATTGTCACTTTTAACACAAAGTCTGGAGGAGTGCCAGGCCTGACCGTTGGCCTTGCCACCCCGTCGTGGTGCGAATGAATCAAGGTTTCATCCAGGTCCAGCACCAACACCTTCCTTTTAACTATACCTAAGGAAAAAAAATAAAACCTTAGTTCCTCCAAACCTCAAATAAAATACTAACCGAATTATTAACAACACTCACTAAGCCTATGCCTTGACAGTGGAGATAGCGGGAAGATCTCGTATTTCACCGGCTGCATTTGAGAGATCTGAAAAACAGTGAATCTCAGTAAAAGCATGACGAAGGAGGAATATTCTTCCTCTGGAACGAGACGATGCTCTTTAGAAATAATCAGAGAGTCAGAAAAATAAAGGATCCCAGGGGGAATCCGATAGCAAGCATCGCAGGCCACTACGAAGGCTCGCTTCGAAAGCATCGCAGCAAAGTGCACCGATACGTCTCGTTGTGCCCAGTCGCGAGGGCGCCTACTTACGGCTCTAACCTGCTTCTTCAGTAGAAAGCAGACGCATGTCCACACGCGGGATGCCATCAGGAGGAAGGCTCTCATCCCCGTCTGCAGTTGCTTGAGCATGTCTACGAGGGGTCCCGCGGGGCCAGGGTCGCGGCGGCGGGCCCCCTTGTCCCGGACTCGATTCCGGATGCGCCGCTCGGCCGGGGCGGCACGCGGGGCCCGCTCGGGCCTCGCCGGGTCCGCCTCAGGGACTTTTGGGCCCCGGAGTTCGTCCGCGACTCGGCGCGGTGCGAGGTTAGGCTGCGGCGAGCGGGCGTCGGGTCCTTCCTGAGGGCTCGGGATCGCACATTCCGCGAACGAGCGCGTTTCTAGGTTATCCTCACCCCTCAGCCTCCGACGATGGAGATCCCACGCGGTCCTAGAGCCCCCGGACAGGCAAGCCCCGTCGCCGAGGTCGCGCACGAAACGCCGCCATCTTTCGGGCTCCGGAACACATTTGGCGGTCCGCATATCGCGGGCCGAGCGGCGCCCCGGGCTGCGCGCGGGCACGCCGACGAGCACGCGCCGAGCGCTGTCAAAGTGTCGCCGCGGGCCCCACCGGCCGAGCGGGGAGCGCTGCCATTGGCTGCCCGCTATTTGGGGATCGCTGATTGGTCAAGAGCATTTCCGTTGGAGCCGCCGGCATCTACCGCATTAACTTGATATGTAACGGACCTTGCCAATGCAATCTGCATTCGACCCGTTTCTTTGATACACAACTGTCCAGTAATGGACAGATAGTCGAACATTGTCGACGAATTTTCTGAACCACGTTAGTAGAGGTTTTCCATGAGTGCGAGTAGTTCTTCCGAAGGTGCGACGGAGAAAAAGAACTTCGGGATGGTGGCGCCATCCAACGGAGAACGCTGCAAGTTTGTCGGCTTACTCCCGCGCCAGGAGACCCTGGGGGTTCTAGGGGCGTCTAAATTCATCGGTTACACCCCAATAGATGGGAGTGTCGTCTTCCTGGTCCGTGCCCGTGGGTCCGTGCCGTCAACCTCGTCAAGGATGGGGCTCCCGCCGAACATGGCAATCGTCGAACGATAATTCAAGCGACCGTGCAGCCTCTGACTCACGTTGGACTGAACGCTGTCTCACGAATTGGAAATCATATCCCGCTCTCTCCTGTCGGTCGGCCCTCACGAGACACGGAGCTCTCTCAACATGATCGTCTTTGGCCTGTGAGGGGCCCGACTTTCCTGGACAGCAGGGTGCACTTTTCACGGCCCAGGAATCCCGCTTACGCATTTATCAGGTATACATCGCTTCGCAGACGTCATCGGAAACCGTCGCACGTTTTCCTCGGCGAGAATTTCGCGGTAAATCAACGGACTCGACGTTTCGTCGAGGAGTTACAAATGCTAACCTAGTTTTTTCGGTGGGGGTCCAGTGACGTATTTTCTGGTCACTTCGCTCGATCAAACGTCCTGCACGCTCATGACGTTTATATGTAGATTACTGGACCATTGTTTGACGAGTTTTATCGCGCTAATACTGCTGCGGTTCTACCAAAATTATAGGATTCATTTATTCTCCGCTAAGCAATTTAGGTTATGCCATTATTAAGCATTTCATTATCGGGATAATTTTATTTAAAATAAGGGTATGCTTATAAGGTGGAATCTTAAATTTTAAGCGTAGCAACATGCCTGGGCCACCACCGCCGCCGCCACCAATGTTTAACGCGCCATCTCCTGCTGCCGGCGAGCAAGGCAGGAATGTACTGCTGCAGTCAATAAGGGCAGGGAAGACATTGAAGAAGACCGTGACAGTGGATAAAAGTAGTCCAGCGGTTTGTGGTAAGAAAAACGGAAGTAGTGACGGTGACTAAAGTTGGTGGAACGAATTTTCGATCATTTTTTGCATCTTAGGAAGGGTGAAGGGTGAGAGTTCGAACCCTAGTACAACACTCAATGGTAGCAACAGCTCGTCGAGTATTACCAGCAGTAGTAGCAATAATGGCGGTCCGGTGGGATTGGGGGGTCTTTTTACTGGGACAATGCCAAAGTTGAAACCAACCGGGCTCAGGGCGAATCGGATCGAACGCGACTCCAGCAACACGAGTTTCTCCCCATCAACTCCGAGCCCGGCACCCAGTGTGAAACGTGGCCCACCGCCTGTGCCGCCACCAGCTACTCAAAAACCACAAGTATTTCCCCAGGTAGTATCGGTGTACCATTGTCTCGCATTTAATAAAACTTATTGTCAAAGCGTTACAGTATTTACAAAACAATAGTCGATAACGGTTCGGTTGATTAGAAGATCGAAATACGAAGTAGCCACATTCAGTATTCACATTAATTCATTATATATTTGATAGTTTATTTCACAAGTAATGCCAAGCTTATATTTATTTCTCGAATAGGTGATTTTCACTATCATTCTTAATTGTTTCTAAGCTCCGCAAATCGTGATATTGTAATACAGGCTCCGAGCACCGTGGAGTCGACGGTTAGCAACCATGAAGCACCTCGAGGGTTCGGCAAGCCTACCCTCGCTCCGAAGCCGCCTGTCCCGCCATCGATGGTGCCACAGAAGCCGTCGCCGCCGCCGAAGAAGCTCAACCTGATGACCGGCGTCAGCGTGTCCAGGGCGCACAGTATGCGGCTGCCCCGCTCCCCGCCAGTCCTAGCACCGACTCCACCGTCCCTGCACCAGTCCCAGGACTACCTGAACGAGCCTCAACAGCGACCAGGGAATCGCGTGTTAAGGCCTCCGGTAGTCAGGCCCCCTTCGCCTCCGTCTTCCAGGGTGACCGTCACGAGACCGGCGCCTCCACCTCCAAGAAACCCCCCCAGCATACCGCCCCCCTTGCCGCCGCTTCCCCATCGCTCTGCCACGCCGCAGCAGAGGGTGACATCGGTGTCTGCGCCGCCGACGCCTCCCACGAGGAGTTCCTCGATGCGTACCGAGCAGTCCTCGATTGACCTGGAGGCCAGGTTCGCGGAGATGTTCCACTCGATCGCTGATTTCCCTCAGCCCGAGCCCTTCCGCAACGTCCCGAAAGTCTACAACAGCAGAAACGGTGAGCCCCAGGCCAGGAGCCAACCCCAGACCCTCCTCAACTTCTTCTTGAAGCAGTACAGCTCCGAGTTCAAGGTGTAGCCCCTCTCGCTTTGCCGCCACCTCCGTGGGACTAACCCTGGAAACGAGGATCTCGCCTTCGGGTCCTTATCGCGAACCTCCCTCCTTATCCGACTGCACGCTTTCTCGCACTTAACTCTACTTTTTCTTACGAAGCTCTTCCGCATCCTCGGATGCAATTCCGTATTAACTCTCGGCGTATGTCGCCGACTCTTTCTCTTCCGCGAGGGCTTAGTCATCGCGCCCGTTTAATGGCCTCGACTACTAACTCGATGCATCCGCAAAGCTGCATTAATCCGTCGCAAGGGGAAGACCGGATGCTTCCCGGCGATGTGGAGCGTTAAAATCGCATGCCAAGCTTAGCTCCGTCTCTCTAGACCCTCTGCACACTCTTTGCCACACGAAGCGCAACCGGGAGCGGAGTTGCCGCACACTTTTGAGTTTACTTTTTTCGCACCCGCGCCCAGTGGCCTCCACGCTGAGTCGAGGTGTGCGAAGCATGTGTTGTTTGAAATAGTAAGTAATCGTAGTTGCATGGACGAGTGGAGTGCTTAACCCGGGGGAGATGGTTCGGGGAATGAAGACGTTGGACTTGTTTTAGTTGCGAAGCAACAGGCTCCACCACCGCCTCGGCCGTCGAGTTCTACGCCCAACACGATGCTGCGGCTCAGCAGCTCCTCCGGGGGGAAACAATGGCAACAGGCAGCTTCCTCGGCGTGTTAAGAGAGAAGCATGCTGGATATCGTCTGCGACCTTCTCGACGGAGGGTCCTATCTACGGTGGAGCCATCGATGGACGTTGTCGAGCCGAGGGGGAGAGACCGAGAGTGGGTATGGAAGGTCCAGGGGTGCCAAGAGGACGAGCGGATACGAGATATTCCAAGTGCGGAAACGAAGGAAGAGACGGATTCTATGCGCGGAAATGAAGGAAGAACGATGGACAGGGTGCGAGGGCCTCCAGGGGCTTGCTTGGGTGTCTGCCGAAGGACCCATCGGACTGTAGTCAGGGATCCTCGACTGTATGGCTGGGATACGTGGAAGGGGATATTAATTGCATGCCCGTAACTCCTTTCCTTCCATGTTTCTTAGCGGTGCAGTCGGTGGTTCCGCGTAATTGCTCTATTGGGTATTGGCTGATACTTGGCCAGGGCTTCAGACATTTTCGGGGGCTCTCGCCACCTAGCGGAATACGACAGAGTTAACTTCCAGGTCCGTCGACGTTGTGCCTGAATGCGTGTGGCTGTGACGTGCTGCGGAAAACGCAAAGAAGCGTCCTGTTATGAAAAGGACTCGGTTAGGTTAATGGTTTAGTCACTCGTAGAGTATCGGGCGAGGAATCTATATATGTACACACATATATATATATATAAATATAAATATGAATATATAAATATAAATATGTTAGGTCTCGCCAGCTGGCGCGTCGGGCGGGGTGGCGGCGCTGATTGTCTTTCCTGCCGTCGGGATCGCTGCACTTTAGGCTGACAATTACGCGAATTGTCGCGGGCGACGAATGCATTGATCTCGAATGCCGGGAGATACGCCGTGTCGCCCGTTTGTTGGCTCGAACCTAGGACGTGGCAACAGCGAGACCGTGGTTATTTTTTACAAGTCAGCTTGCGCACCTTATCCAGGGATATCGGCGCCCTGGGTACGGCGGGTGGCCAGCTCTCGAGAGTTAACATCACGAACTAGTATTTAAGATACGACGCCTGGTATCGAAGTAGGCGCCAATTTGGGAGCCCGAGATCTGCGAATTTTTGAGGATCCAGTGCTGACAGCGCCACTCTTCGGTGGAACCTTGCAATTAAAAGTGTTAAACTAGGGCATCGCGTTAAGAAAAATGCCGTGTAATTGGTCATATCATAACGTAGCGTATTATAATCGCAAAATGAAACGCGGTTTAGGTTGTCCACATCTATGAAACGTCACGATGACGTAGTATAGAGATTCCAAGATTTTCCGCAAGTGGCGCTGGCGTCGTTGGCTCGGCGAAAGTTCCAGATATCTGGGTCCCAATTTTAGGGCTACTTCTTTTCTGTGAACCCGATAGACGTTATGTCTCTTACTAGTTTGCGGTTAAGTACATACTAGGGTGAATAAGCGAGAGGCTTTTCCCGTTGATGCCTCGAGAACGTGACTCTGGCCACGAGAGAGGGAGAGAAATGGCGGACCCCTTTTTTTGTCCCCCCCCGAAACTTGTATCTAACGAACGGGAGTCCCAGACTTTAGGCCTGGGAAATATATCAAGAAGTGGTGATATCGCTGAGGATACGTTGCGATAGGCTATCAGTATGCCGGGCTCGGAGTAAGGCGCACAAAAAAACGCGATGCGTCCTCGTCGCATCGGGCCGCGAAGATAACCGCGGTGTACCTCCCCCGCGTCGGCGACCTTTGTAGAAAGAATCCGAATCTAAAACACGCCAAGCCTTGTAATACTATCGAATAACATAGTATGTTGTGTAATTAAGCAGCCGCGGTGGCTTGTTTTCCCTCCGAGAGTCCCCCGGGTGCTCCCGGAAGTACAGGTGGAAATGGCGGGGAGGAATAAGTCACACGCGGAGTAACAATGACCGATTTATTAAATTAGATGTACAGTAACGACAGAGCTTGAGTTCTTTCTGCCTCGTGCGAGATACCGATCGGCAGGGCTATCTAAACATTGATTATTTATAAATAAAATGATACCGTCGCAGGTGATGGGGCGAGGTTCCTCGGTCGGCGCCTCTATCCTGGCAGTTCGCGTCGACGGAGGGGGAAGGTAATATAAAAGAGCGCCTTGGTATCACTTGGGGGGGGTCTTGCGACGTGGGGAATCGTCCACTAGGCATCGCTCAAGAGGTCCTGGATTCGAGGATCCCTGGAATTTTCCTACGCCTCTAGCTCCTTCTCGATGATCCTTCGGTACTCGTCGAAGCCGCCTTCGATGCACTTCACCGAGCCCTCCCCGCAGACCCATAGCTCCTTGCAGACCATGCGGATGAGTCGCTCGTCGTGGGACACCAAGATCACTCCAGCCTGAGGATATACGGATCGGGATTAGAGCAGGGTTTCCTACCCCGAGGAAGCCGACGACTTATTGCTGATAAAAGACGGAACCAGGACTCTGTACCCGGGACGGGGATTATGGATGACTCACTTGGCAAATTTGCAACGCCTTCCCGAGAGCTTCTATCGACTCGATGTCCAGGTGGTTCGTCGGCTCGTCGAGCACCAGGAAATTCGGCATGGCGGCGCACATCAAGGCGAAGGCCACTCGAGACTTCTGCCCTCCCGAGAGAGAGTTGATGGTCTGAAGAGCCAGGTCGCCGCTGATGCCGAAACTGCCCAGCATCCGCCTGTACTCTTCCGTTGGTTTACCTGCTCACGGGGAACATTTGTTCCTTCAGACATCCTGTTTCATCCCGGAGGTCTTGACTCTATCGGCTCTTTGGACTCACCTGGAAAGTGATTTTGAAGCAGCTCCACCGGACAAACCCTCATGTCCAGCTGGTCGACGTGGTGCTGACTGAAGTACCCGAACTTCAGGTTGCGGTGGACGTGCAAGGTCCCCCTGGTCGGGCTCAAGGCTCCGGTTATGATTTTTAACAGGGTTGTTTTTCCCGCCCCGTTCTCGCCGACTATACAGATCCGCGACTGTAAAGTGGCAGTGAGGTTTACGTTGGTGAATATGTAGGAACTGTCGTTCCCGCCCTCGTAGCGGAAGGAAACCTCGTTCAGTTGGAGAATCGGTGGACTGAGTTGCTCGACGTCGGGAAACCGGAGCGTGACCTCGCCCTCCTTCTCCATGGGCTTAAGCTCAGGCCTGGATATCGAATCATAAGTTAGAAGTAATCAATAATTTGTACACAATCAAACGGTAAATGACCCAGCTTGAGTGGGGGCGGACTTACAGTTTTTCCAGCATCTTAATCTTGCTCTGTACACTGGAGGCACGATTGGCATTGTATCGGAAGCGGTCGATGAACTCTTGCACGTGAGCTCGCTTGGCTTGCTGGGCCTCGTATTCGCGTTGCTGGTTCCTCTCGCGCTCACCCTTCGTTTTCGCGAACTGTTCATAGTTACCTCGGTACGCCTCGATCTTCTGTCCTCGGAGGTAGAGGATGTCGGTTGGTACCTGGAGAACAAAGATCGTGATTACGGTAACAGGATTTTAGGGGAAAGAGAAAGCCTAAGGAGGTGATTCGAGGTAATCGTCATGCATGGCTCACCGTATCTAAGAAATTCCTGTCGTGAGACACGACCAGCAACGTGGTGGGCCAGGATTGGAGATACTTCTCCAGCCAGAGGATGGCTTTGATGTCCAGCATGTTCGTGGGCTCGTCCAAGAGGAGAAGATCAGGCTTGGAGAAGAGAGCCCTGGCGAGCGCGAGTCGCATCCTCCAGCCTCCGGAGAAGGATTTCGTCGGCCAGGACTGCCTCTCCACGGCGAAGCCTAAACCTGAAAGGATCTCGCTGGCTCTCGCTGGAGCCTTGTCCACCTCGGCCAGCCTCATCGCTTCGTAAATTCGCGCTAATTCCTCGCCCGCCGAGTCGCTGGCGGTTTCTTTTTCTATTGCTGACTGCAGTTCCGCTTCTCGACTTAGAAGGGCACTGCGCTCGTGGTCGCACGCCAGGACGGATTCCAAAGCAGACGTGTCGTCGCCCGCCACCTCTTGCTCTACGTGCAGCACTCGCACGTGGGATGGTATTCGTAACTGCTTACTGCAGAAAGAAATGGTTCAAGGTTATTTGCTTGGGTCCTGATTATACTCACGATCATCAGGGTGACGTTTCGGGGCACCTGGATATCATGCGAAGTAAGGTAGTCTTCCCCAGTCCATTTCGACCAATCAGACCATATCTCCTGCCGAAAGCCAGAGTCAGGTCAGCCCCTTGTAAGAGGACTCGGTCTCCATAGGCCACGTCGAAGTTCTCTATCCTGATGTCCTGGGTTCGATTAGTCCCTCCTTTCGTTTCCATCCTACTGTCCTTTTTACTGGTCATCTGACTCGCGCTTGCACTCTCCGACGTCTGAATAACTGCGGTATTATTTCGCGCCAAGGCCCCTAATTCAATGCCCACGCGTTTCTCCTGTTTCTGCTGCAATTTTGCCTCTGCCTTTTCCAACTTCTTGGCGTCGACTTTCTGCAAGCGATAAAGTGGTGGTTTGGTAGTTCTTAATTGGGGTAAATGGCATTTCTAGATAGGGTACGCTACCATGGAATCGTCTCTGGTGGTTACCCAGATACTCTTGATCTGCTCAACTTGTGCCTCCAGGGTAGCAGCCATGGTCCCTAAGTGGACTGGCGCGTTCAACACTTTATTTACACCGTTCTTTCGCCTTTCATCAAGATTCTCCCCGTCACCATTGGGTCCACCCTTCAGTATCTCCAGCAGTTTCCTGCATATTCTCCTGTACACCAAAGAAAATCCCATCCCATAAGCAATTCGTGCCAGAATTAGAGACCGAGTAGGACGTAGCATTATTGGTACTGCATGATCGACATCGCTAATTTGGAAGGACATTCGAGCTGTGCTTCTTAACAACTAATCAATAACAACAAAGTGTCAAAGAGACCGTGAGCAGCTGTGCAAGGTTCATACAAAGCTCGTGCCGAAGAATTCACAGACGAGAGAGCGAAGCCTTCCGGAGATTAACGGGTTGCACCAAATATTACTCCTACGGGTGAATTTACTGGGGGTAAATCGAGGAGTAGACGAGCCGCATTTACAGACCTAACCTCGATTTCTGGTTTATCGGCTACCTCGTGGAGGACCTCGCCGATGGCCTCGTAGACTTCGTCCCCGTCCTCGAAATCATCCTTCGAACTGTCGAGTATTCCTGTGAGACAAGACATTGGAATGCCGACCGAGTCCAGCCTCTCAGATTTAGGTTAACAAGGACTCACCCTCCACGTACTGGTACAAATCATCGTCTATCGAAGGAAACTGACTCCTTATGTACTCGCCACACGCGGCCATACCAAAATCCCGAAATCTTGGGACGTTCCTCGGCAAAGACTCGCAAAGTGTCCGGCGAGAAAGAAGAGCCTTCGAGGAGCGGATCAGTCAAAAGTTACGAAAGTTGCCAAGATTCTCTCACGAACACATGTTTGTACACCCGATCGCTACGGTCCACTCGGCCATGGAACGAGGGGAATTGCAGAGTTACCGTGGCATTTTTAAATACAAAAGTATGGACAGTTAGCTGCCACCTTCACGCTGTTCGCCAAGATGGCGCCATTCTGTTCGGAAAAGCAATGACAGCACGCCCGGCAGTTTTAATTTAAATACGCAAAGAAACGGATTCATATTTAACGAAGGAAAAAATATCAGAGTACAAATAAAGAGCGTATCATTTTTTGTGATTAATAAGATTCACAACCTCACAGTGAGAAGCGAAGCATTATAAGATTCAAATTGTCGAGCCGAGTGAAGTCCAGTTTCGACGTTTCCAAAAACAAGATGGCGACCCTAGCGACTCGGCGCCGATTTCAAACAAGAACATTTGTCCTGTTGGGTAGCAAAATGGAGTTTCTCCCAGGGATGTTTACGTATATGGAGAGATACGCAAAGAAATGAGCATTTTACTTAAGTTATACTATACAATTGCTTTGCCTTCTTTGCTAGATCTGGCGGAAATCCTTTGGGGTTCGCTACGCAGGTAAATGATCAGGCAATGGGGGGTCACAAGTATCGTATTTATTCGGTAATACATTCTTGTTCGAAACCAAGATACATCCCGGACAGGCGCACGTCCGAGACATGAATCGCTTCCGCGTAGACAAATTCGTCCTCCGAAGATCGGGCCGGTACGCAAAGATACATATTATGTATTATTGTAGCTCGTATGCTAGGTAAATATAATAAGTGAGTGTGTATGAAAAACGTAGACTATTACACTGTTTATTTAATGTTCCTTTTACTTTTTTTTGTTCTTTTGTTTCATTACCTTAGGTGGGAGTCCTTACGGTACTGTAATATTATTTAACCCATCGTGCGCCATTTCCACGGGCGCACGAGTGTGTAGGTGTCCGTTACGTGGAACATAATAGTAATGATTGAACGGTCTCTATGTTATACCTTTAATCGTAATGTCCAGTTCTCTACTAGATTGCTTTGAAAATCTGCCCGTTCCTTCAGGTTCGCGAGACGAAAGGGAATCTCCTAAGTACTTCCTCTCTCTTTCTCTCTCTCTCCACTTTCCCATTTTCTTCCTTTTTATTATTAATCCCGTAACATCGTTTGTACTGCCTTGAGCGTGAGCGGATCACATTGAATCGATGCCACGTTAACAATTTAAAATTACGCCTAAACTGCTGCGCAGGCAGACCGATGGCAGTGGCTACAGATTAAATCTAAGATGCTCCTTCATTCGGCATCGGGACTTATCCGCGCGATTTAGCAGACCACCGCGAAAAGAATTCCTTCGTTTCCGGTTTAACATCCAATTCCGGAAGAAAGGCGGCGTGTCTCGGCTTTTGTCGGTAAAAAAAGGTACCGCGAAGATATCGGCTTTCCGAAGACGCTTTGCTTTGAAGGCTTTTCTTGTATCTTTCTTTCTTTTTTTTTTATTTACCTTTACATTTTATCTGTAGTCACTGTAAATATAATATATGTATATATATATATATATATTTCCGTGCTTCCGATCTTTCGTTTTTTTTCTCTCTTCTTCTTTTTCTTCACATTAATCTTCATTAACTCGTATCCGATCTACGAGGAAATAAATGGGCGATTTGTCGCAATTTAACGTCTAACGAGAACGCAACGAATCCGTTTCGAGCTAAAAGCTTTCCCTTCGTAACGAAAGAGGAGAGATTTTATTTAGGTCTCGTCGTGAGGAATAGTTCGGATAGGTTTAAAAATTATGCGCGTATGAAACGAAGAAAAAAAAGAAGAAAAAGAAAATTAGTTAACCGAAGTACCTAGACTTGAATTTGGGGAAACGTGTTTTTGTTTTTTTAACGTGGTACCAGTTTTATACGGTATCCCGGTAATATTATGCTGCAAATTATATCGAGTAAAATATCACACCTTCGGGGCTCTCGTACGTTTTAAATAATTATGACGTAGTGCAAAGAGAATTTTCGAACCGTTTTCCCGGCACCTCTGGAACCGCTTCATCTAGACGGATAATATCCATATCATCTAAAGTGATAACAATCGCGATCCTCCATAATCACGGATAATCAGTTTATCCTCTCAAGAGAGCAATTCCTATCCTCTGATAAACAATCACCTCGTCGCTAAATGCACTCATTCCGATTATTTCTTTCTTTCCGGAAGAAAAAGTAATCCTGTCTAATTTCACGTTAAAAGCTTTAAAATTAGCGTAAAAGGGCCAACTAAAAGTCCACTTGTAAGTCCGAGTGATTTGTGTCTATGTAAAAACATTAAGAGGGGTTAGGACACTGTAAAAATGCATTTTAACATTAATTCAATCGAAATTAAATTAAAATGGGTTTTAACGGAGAACGAAGCATTTCTTTACGGGGCAATTATAGTTGACGTTTAAATCAAGCCAATTTGAGAGACATGCAAGAGAGCTTTCGGCATTTAAAATTCCCGGTAAAACATTTAAAAAATAAAACAGCCCCGTAAGCAAATATTTCCCTATAAACCATTTTCATTCTCTTTTAAACTAGCCTCGATTAAAACGCTTTGCACAATTTTCCAACCCCCTTAAAGGAGTATCTACCCCCATTCATGATGCCTAGGCTCTGATAAGAGATACGGCGGTCCTCAGAGTGCCAGAAAAGGGTTCAAAGATGGCGTCAAACTGAACGTCCCTCTGTATCGAGGAAAGGGAAGGTCACTTTAGTCGCAAGGGAGCAACCTCGGTGCCGATGTGGTATACAATAGTCTAAAAGTCTCGCTTTTTGAAGGCCCAAACGATCGCCGAGAGATCTTCGAAGCAGTCTCTACGCATCGCTTTTTAACGCCGCCTTCTGTTCTTTTTTTTCTTTTCTTTTTTATACCACGATGCGAATTATCAATTACGTACGACTTACGAGGTCTAAGAATAATCGTTATTACTAGTATGTATCGTGCCAGCTAATATAGATTAGTACGGTTTGACTCGATAAAGGGTAGAATGAGGCTTTTCTCCTATGTTCGTTCCTTTCAACGATCGCCCTCCAGGTCGCCATTACCGAACACGGTTCGCCTTATATCTTCTGATTCGATTTCCCACGGTTAATTAACATTCCGCTCAGGTCCTGCCTGTTGGGCCACAGCAACGATTGGTGATCACGAATTTTACAATTAAACTTTAGACGAAACGATATACACAATCATATCACATTGGGACGAACTTAAGGACTAATCGAAAAGCCGAAAAAAAAAGGGGAAAAAAAATATGCCTACCCCGCCCGCGCTCCATTCATCCAGGAATGGACGCAGGACGTAATTAGTTACCGTGAAAATGAAAAATAAAAGAAAAACAAATTTCTTTTTCACCGCAAAATTTTTTTTTATCGCACCTCACGCACTGCTTGAGGTGCGATAAAATTGGGACCTACGTATATACTTGAAAAATATCACTTTTCGCTTCCCCCATCCCTCCCTCGAGAAGAAAATAAGAAAAGAAGAAGAAAAAAAGAGAACATTAGAAGAAAGACATTGAGCGTAAATTTATATACCGACAGGAATGCATGAGAACTCTCGACGACCGATTTGCAGAATTATAAATACACCTTCCCATTTATCCGCCCCCCCTGAGCGTATCGCCATGCTGCCGCTCGTCACCAATCATTGCTCTGGCGAACGTTTAGTTCTTATCCCCCATGATAATGCCGTGAACTCAGCCGATTCATGCGAAAAACAAGAGCAGATTATAGGAATCGCAGGTCGTAAAGCTGAGACGACGTTCGTTTACAACTTTACAGCCCCTTGGGTTAAATCTGAAACTCGTCTGGGGTTTAAGGTCGCTCAGAAATAACCCGTTCGTAAGGACTTAACGTTAAGTCATCCTCGAACCGTGACTCTAGAACCCCTCTCTGGCAAAGTTGTAAACGAACAATCCTTCAAATTCGCCATCGACAATGTTTAAACGTTTCCGCTTGCAAATCATTGTACAAAGGTTCGGCGCGAGAGTATCTGTGTATCGCTCTGCCGAGACTGATCTTGCGGATTTAAGGCGGTGTGAAAGTGGCGTCAATGAAGTCTTGTTTATGAAACTTCTCCGAGCTGGATGTACCGAATCGTTTCAAACTTTACACCGTGAATACGGAGGCTACGAGGAAGGTCTTGACACCGATGAAACTTGAATATTTTTTTTCTTTTAGAATTTTGTCCATTTTACAAATGTTTCACAAAGAGTAAAATTTCACGGGTGTCAAGGCCTTTCTTAGAGCGTCCATGTTCATGTTGCAAAATTTGATACGATTCGGTACGCCAAGTTCGGAGAGAAGCTTCATGATGCTACTTTCGCATCCCCTTAATGTTCATATTTTCGCCGTCGGAGGACTGAACTCTATCTCTTGTGTATGGTAAACCGACACAGCACACCGATGTCAATTCGTGTGACAATCTCAATTTCTCTACTCGAGCAACAGACCTCATTCGATGCTCATACGCGAGCCGTGCTCGTGCTCGCTCGACACCTAGCGTAACAACATAGCACCTAGGGTTTTTGTACTTTTTGCAATAATTCGCGTAATAATAGATCCTTATCGATATTAACGTACAGCTATGACGAGAGAATGTATGTACAGGTATGCGATTCGGACATGATTACGGGGTGGGGTTAATGGAAAAAGCAACCTAGTCTTCGTCCTACTTTCTGACTCGACCTCAAACTTACGAGGTTCAGAGAGAGAGGAAAAAAAAAACGGAAAAAAAAAAATAATACAAGAAACCAAAAAGAAAACGAAACCATCCTCCCGCCCCAGCCGCTGCATATATTTAATATACACAATAGCGGCGGCTCACCCTTAATCATTGTTAAATGTTTATATATCGTTATTGGCGTGGCGAGTTCCTCCCGTACCTCTCGTACTCGTTTAAACCTAATTACTTTCTTTCATATAATACAAGTATCTACACTCGGTCGTAAACGGAACCGCCGGTCGAGTCTCCAATTCGGTTAAGGAGACCCCGGAAATGAACATCAGTAATAACGTTAAAGGCTCTTCGTATATCACATAACCAAGAGAGTTTCGCCGCTTATACTTCACGTTATTTAGAATCGTTTTATATGTATATATTTATATATTTATATATATACCGTAATCGCACGTACTCCCTACCGCTAAATTCAGTCCACGTCCGTCCGGTTAGTGCGAGGAAGCTGCGAGAGGTCGACTTCAGAATCGCATGCAAAATGAAAGGGAAAAGAGGAGTTTCTGTTCGTTAGCGGGTTTCTCGATACCAAGAGAAATATGAAAGAGCGAGATAAATCGAGACCGATTCAATGAAACGAGCCCGACATAAGACGTTGCTCGTCCACCGTCCCACTACTCTTAAGGATAGCGTCAACTGGAGATAAGGTAGGTGGATGAACAATTATCGTGCCAACAATTAGCGTTAATTCCATCCCAATGATTAGCATCCTCGCAAGAGCCGGATCGTCGTGGTGATTACTGAGCAGCGTCTCGCCATCAGGACGAGATCGACGGAGTCCTAACGCTACTGGCTAATCTCACGGGTGGATCGGGTTATCGTAATCGTTGTCGGAGAATACGCGTCCCGAGTTCTAAGAAATTATCCGGTAGGATTTCCCCAGCCGAGTCGACTTCAGGTGTTGGTTCCGACAAGTAGCCGAATCCACCCGTGGCAAAAGTCAGGGTGGTACCTAAGCAGTCCCATCGCCTGAAGACGGGATCCTTGTGGCTACTAGCTAGGCTCACGGGTGGATCGGGTTCATCTTCGTTGTCGAATGGGAGCCTCTTCAAGCAACATGCAAGAGAACGTCCTAAGTCAACGAACAGTTGGTCCAACTGGTCGCTATCCGCATTTATCGCCGATTCAAACTCAATCCCAGACCAGTAGCGAATATCCCGAACAAACTCTAACGGCCTTTCGTCCGTTCGCCCAGATTAAACGGGACTCTAGTCACTGGCCATGCTCACAGGGGCCTCGGCTTCTTTCTCATTTTCCGAGGGCTTCGGCGGCTCGGATTCCTCCGTGTTCTCGGTGCTGTCCGCGAGACTGTCGTTCGTCGGAGGCTTCTTCGCTTCCACCGACTCGTCCTGCTGCATTTCCTGTATCTGTTGCATCTGCTGCACTTGCAGCTGGCCGCGTAACCTGGAGATCTCCCTGGCGTCGCTCCGCCGGTGGCGCCTTAAGCGGGCGTTCTCCGTGATTACGCGCCTGGCCAAGGCCAAGACGTCCTGGGGGACGTCAAGGGCTATCAACCGTTCCTCCAGGTCGACCGCTGCCGTCCCGTCCGAGTCCGAGTCGCTCCCTGGCGACGACGTCCTCGCGTCTACCGGCAACGTCGGCTCCTCCACAGTGACCGTAGACGACGTCACCGCAGCACTGCTCTCCTCTTCCTCTTCGGTCTCCTTTCCCGCGACGACCTCGGATTCCCTCCTCTCTTCGGGCTCCTCCTTCGTCGACGTCTGGAAACCAGCCGGCGCCGACCCGGGCCCGGGGGAAGAAGGCTTCTCCAGCTTGATGCTGACTTGGGAAGACTCCTGCTTCTCGGATGGGCTGACCGGACGGTGGTTGTGGCGACGGCGCTCGTGGTGGTGTCGACGGTGGTGCACCAGGGGTGGTGCCACCGGTGGCAACGACGGCGCCGGGATCGGAGCCAGGGCCACGTTTGGCTGGAAGTGCGGCTCGAAGCGCTCGCATTCCGAAAGTGGTACCACGCGCTCCGGGTGCTGCAACACCGGAGGCCCTCGACTGAGATACGCAGGCACCAGTGGTGAACTGCAACGGGATTCACGGAAGGCTTGGATTATTCCTCTACACGCATCTTGCACACCATTTCTAGTGAATCCAAAAAAAGAAAACAAGTCATTTTCGAGGGGATTTCAGTCACAATGTGCACCTGGAGATTTAGGGTAACGTCTAGGCTGGGGCTAGATGAGCGTTGTTTCAACGTACGCCGTGGAAGTACATCATGAACCATGGTTAACGCACGAGCGACGTGCGTCGCCTTTGTTATGATACAACGTTTGTCGTCGATTTTGACGCTCATGTGGCCCCAGCCTTAGTGGTCGGGTCTGCACAAGAGAAGATATGAAGACCTTCCCTATGAACGACAATGAGTCAGGACTTGAGTTATCAACCCAATTGTTCAGCCGATACGCTGTTCCTAAATTCGTCGCGATAGTAACCGACTGTCGCGGCAACGGTTGCGAAAGGAAACCGCGATACGGAATAGGAACTGGCCGAAGGTGACGACTTTGATGCAATTACCTGTCTCTATGTTTACAAGACCCCGTGGCACTCCACGGTCTGAAAGCGGACGCTCCCCTCGCGGCCAGCTCTAAAACTGCCCACTGCATTTGCAGGTACGGGTCACCTGCACCTGCAGCCGGGGATACCGGGTGGTACATCCCGAGACCGTTGCCGTTGTAGAGCCCACCGGGGCATTCGTCTCTGCCTACGTCCTTCTTTATCCGCTTCGTCAGTTTCTCCGGCTCGTGGCCCAGCTAGAAATCAATGCGAGGATTGAGTTATTCACCTTGGGAGGAGTTTACATTATTCACCGGGCATTAAACGGAGCCTCGCGGCAGGTGAGGTGCCCGTTAATTACCGGGCACTCGAAGTCATTGTTCCAAAGAATTACAACGGTGTGGATTATCGTCCGAATTTGTCAACGTCTCGGATCGCTTTATCGGCAGCTCGGGATCGGCAGATAAGTCGCATACAAGATTGCATCGTAACTTTAATCAGGGCTACTGATATATCTTGTTTTCCAAGCCATGCCCTAGGAATAACTTATCGGCGGTGAATGCTTATCTGGCAATTAAAAGTATACCGAAACGATTCGCGATAGATACCGATTAAGCATCAATGAAGGTCTGACTTTCGTCAGCTCCTTCGTACGCGCGAAATAATTTTTTCACTCATGCAGAGGCAGTTATGCCCTGGGTTTATGTACCTCCGGTTTCCTCTTGGGGTTGAGGACCAGGTGCCGCTCCTTCAGGTCCCGGAAGAGCGCGGCCACCTTGTTGTGATGTGGTTGATCTCTGCACAGGAGCAAGTAGGACCTCCAGTTGGCCGAGTCGAAGCCCCAATGGCAAGTGCGATTCTCCAGGGACCGATGTGCGTGCCTGACGAAACGCTGAGGGGAGAACCGGCATCCGCACTCGAGGCACTCGATGCAAGCCGAGTCCTCGGTGCCGAACAAGTCCGCGTCGAACATCCCCTTGCACTTGCCGAAGCATTCGTGGTACACCTTAAACCTGGTAACGGACTCCTCCTCGTCCTCCTTCTTGGCGCGTATCTTCTTCTCGATGGCGTCCGAGTCGCCCCTTTCCTGGATGACGACCGGCTCGCAGGGTTCGGTCCTGAGGAGCAAAGCACTGACGAGCCGTTCGGCGTCGGTCTGCGTGATGAGACCGCAGGAAGGTGCGTTCCTCGGCAGGATCCCCGAGAGTTTCAGCTCTTCGAGCTGGTCCCGGGTGCACCTGGAGCAGTAGATCTGCAGCTCGTCGCAGACTTGGTTGATCTGTTGCAGGGAGAAGTCCTGCAGGACCGTGTTCAAGATTTGCGGGAGACAGAGCCGCCTTTCGCCTCCTACGACGAAGCAGGATATTCTCTCGCCCTCCAGGACGGTCTCGCACCTCTCGGAGCAGCTCTGGTCCGGAGCTGTTAGGATAGGAATCTGAAACTCCAGCTCGCGCTTTTCGCAGGTGCCTTTCAGGCGCTGCGGTTGAGGAGGGTCGTCGTCGGAGTCCTCGAGCGGCCTGTCGACTCTGCGATCCCTGCATAGCGGGACCTGGAGGCTCGTCGGAGAGTCTCTGTCATCGACTTCCTTGGTCGACGGTATAAGGTCGGTGGGAGTACCTCCGTCAACATTGCAGATAGCTCCTGGACGAGTAAGGGGAGAGAAGTGAAACGGTGCTGGTTCCTGTAGCAAACCCTTACAGTCCATGCCCAAGAGGGCTGAGCTCGGTCCCTGCAGGCTCTTCACTGCAGACAGCTGATATGTCTTTAAAACGGTCTTCAGTTGAGGACTGTAGGATTGATTGCTTGCATCACCTGGGAGTAGAGTCTCCATTATTTTGGGCTATTTTTGTCTCAGGACCCTGATCCTAGTTAGCAACGTCCTTCACCATTTGGAGTTACTCTCTGGAATATTGCATTGTGTTTAGTCCCTTGAATGATCAATGAATCGTCGTGTTCTAACCGAGACAAATAATCTACTTACTATTTATTGTCAGCCAAGTGTTAAATTATTCGGTGATCTCGTTCTCCTTGCTTCGACTTCTCGATCACCGAAAATACACTTTTATCGGTGGGTTACTTTGGACGTTAAGTTTCAGCCGTATACCTACGGTTCCACTCTCCTTCCATGACATCCCTCCGTTAAGTCAAAAGATACCTTTACCTCCTTCGCAAATACCTTAAACAGTACCTGGATTATTTAAGAACATTGTTCCTGTGGATTCACTTTGAACCACCACGACCCTTCGCACCAAAAGTCCAACTTCCTTGAAGCACATAATCCCAACTGGCACACCTAATCTCCCCACAAGTTTCATCGATGGCTCGTTCGCTCACTTCTTCAATCGTGTCCCGAACGAGCACTCCGTCAACTCCGAAGCGAACCTTACGTTCCACCAAAGCAGACAATCGCAATCATTGTGCATCGAGGCGCAAGTTCCACCAGCAATTCCATGTTGCTCGCGATCCCTCCGTAATCCTATACTCCCAACAAAAACCACCAAGCGATTCCTACGCTCTGTCTCACATTACCCCGTAACCCAGCCCACATGGAACGTGTCGAGCCTCGGCAACCTGCATCTTCGATACACCAGTTCCTCGAGCACGACTGGCAGTCCCACCAGCGAGTCTTCTTCAGGAATTCTTTCGATCACGCAGCGACGATCCAAGTTTCCCGTGCGTCCTCCGCCATGACATCCAGCTCCACCGCACTTTGAAGAAGAGTATCCAGGCGCATTCCTCCGGTGTCGAGGGTGCAAAGCATCCAGGGGTCAGGACTTCCAGTGCGCCATAGCGGGCGCCCCTCGGCCGTCCCGAAGGCCTACGATTTCGCCCTCTCCCCAGGCATACCTGGTGCTCGCTGTCCTTGTCGCGGTCTCCCCCAGGAAGCGGCTCTCGGTCGGTGGGCCGCGCGTCTCCCAGGATGGCCGCGAGTGTCCGTCCGTGGCGCTCGCTCGAGCGCGGGTCAGGGGAACGACTCGTCCCGGTGGCATGGGCTCGGTCGCCCCGAGTCCGAGTGGCGACCAGCGTCTCTCCACATGTCTCTCGGCTCGGCCGTGCTCGGGTGGTCCTGTCTCTCGCCGTCTCTCTTGCTCTTCCGCCCTGCGTGCCGTCCGCCGTCTCGCTCGCGCGATGCTCGCCTCTAGCGGCCTCTCTCGGCCTCTCTCGGTCTCAGGGCCGGGTGCGCAGCGCGGCGCGTCTCCTGCCCCCCTCGGTTACATGGCCGCCTCCTTCCGCCGCCGCCGATTAGACTGAACTTGGCTCCGAGAGGCCGCCGCACGAGTGCGCATGCGCGCGGGCCGTTTCGTCCGTCTCTCTCAGCAGGGATCGCGATCAGGCGCGATACTCGCGCTTCATCCCTCCCCGTTGCACTCGGTTTTCCTGTTTTTCCCTCCCCGGCAGGGTTCTACCAGCGAGTCGACCCTCTCTCTCGCTCTCTCGCCCCGTCTCTCTCGGTCGCGCTGTTCGATGCGTAGAGTCCCCCCTGCGATTACATGGCCGCCGATTAGAGTGAACTTGGCTCAGGGGGACCGTCCCGCCAGTGCGCAGGCGCGCGGATCCCTTGTCTATCGGCGCGGATCGAGCAGATCGAGCGCGAACCTCCGCTCTGCTTCTCGCTCGCGCCTATCCCCCCTCGGCTAGCGCGAGCGAGCGCGCGCGCGTCTCGGCGTCGTGCCGCGGGTTTCGCGTGTCTTATCGACCGAGTGCCCTCGGCCCGCCTTAGACGCCACGCGGGTTGCACGCACCGCCCTTGCCGGGAGGTCGCATCCTCCCGGGGACGCGGCTCGACGCATCGGCGGGTCCGCTAAGGGCAGCCGGCCGTGCGAGAGGTCGGAGGTCTGCGACCGCGAGAAACCCGAGGTTGAGCCTGGTACTAAGAGACGTACCAAGAGCGCGGACCTACGCCGACGCAGAGTGCGAGTGTGCGTGGACGCCGCCTGTGTAGACCCAGCGCCAGTGTGCGTGAGAGGGGGAGGCGAGAGCACGGACCGTGGACCGGAGTGGGTGTGTGCGTCGCGCGCCGGCGGCCGGCCGAGCCCTTCGCCGGCCGATCTTACCTCCCCTCGCCCCTCCACGGCCGTGCCGAAGAGGTGTCCGAACGCCGCGTGCGCGCGCAGCCTTCGGCCCGGAGGGACGCGCGGTCGCGGTTCGACGCCAGAGGCGTAATCCCTCTAGAAACCCCACAAGTGAAGAGGTAGAGGGGAGACTACGAAACTCTGCAATCTTTATTAATAATACAAGAGAGAAGAATCAATCCCCGTAACTGTACATTTTTAATAACTTCGGGTTGAGGATCATCTTAAACAGAGGATCAACCAACGAGCTCCTGAATCGGTACACATTCTTTTACTGACCGCTTCCAACGTTGCTTAACCCACGTCATATGACGAAAACCGACGTATTGACGACGCCTCGTCGCTGGGTCAACAAAGTTCCGAATGTTCGAGGAAATGGTCCAGCCACTGAATGCAAGTAAACCCGGAAAACGTGGGGAACGTCACAACACCGGCCCCGGAAGCCTACGACCCCGAATGGTTACGCCATTGCCATGGTAGCGCTCTCGCTCGGTCCGTTTACAGAGGCACCGCCTCTCCTCTTCTCTCTTCCTCTACACCGAGAGCACGGCCACGTGCGAGCCGCTTGGTAGTGGTCGGAGGCGTCTCCGTATCTACTCGCCGTCTCGCTCCCACCTCCGCGTCTTGCGTCGCTCCGTCTCTGTTTACTACCCGTGGCGCAACGGGAGTCGCGCCACTGGTGGTGGTGAACCGAACCGTGTTCATCTATCTGCATCCCGCTCCTTTCTCGCGCGTGGCTCCGTCTCCCTTCCGCTCCCTCGGTGCTGTATGCGTGTCATACATGCGAGAGTCGTGCTGTAGAGAGGACACACACGTTCGGGGCTTTGCGTAGGTGTACGAGATATCTCATGGTAGTTAACCGTGGAATCTCCGACACCGTAAACCGCCGTTGTCTCCCTCTTTGTCGGCGCGCACACCGGCGTGGAGCTGCGCGCGACCGGCCACCTGGTGGGGGTAGCGCGGCGCTCTTTCGCGAGTGTATCGTCCGTGTCGGCCGCCGGTCGGCTGAGCGTCTAGTCATGTGACCTTCCCGTCAAAATAGCCCGCGTACATACCCCGCGCGACTCCGAGCATCGACGCGCACCCACACACCCGAGACGCCCCTCTGTGTGTGCCGCCGAGGCCTGAGTCGATGCTCGTGAACTTGTGCGCGCGCGACCGACCGCGGACGCCGAGCGACGGAGAGGAGTAGAGGGCACGATCAAGAGGAGCGACAGAGAAGAGTAGACGGTGCGATCAGGAGGAGCGACAGGGAAGAGTAGGCGGCACTACCAGGAGGTGCGACAGAGAAGAGTAGACGGTACTACCAGGAGGGGCGACAGAGAAGAGTAGACCGCACGACCAGGAGGAACGACAGAGACGCAAGCGGAGTGCGGACGTCCCAGAAAACGCGATATAGATTCGCACGATTCGCATTGAAAATCCGAGGCGGCGGTCTCCTCGCCGGGATCGCGACACCCTGGCAAGAGGTCACGCTTGGGTCGAGACTTAACCCCTGACTGGCGTAGATGGAACCGGACAAATATTTCTATGTACTTTGATACGGCGTAGATGAATCATAAATGCTTTCGAAGTAACGGCAATCGTTTATTTTAATCCTTATGGGGCTTGACTTCCCCTGTATAAAAAAAAAAAATCGTTTTCCTGCAGTTTTGGAAAGAAGACCTATGTTATTCTGGCCACTCCCTTCGGGGTGTCTGAATCGCAAATCTCTGTCATTAGAAATAAGACCAGGAGGGTTATTAAGTTATGCCTGCATTTGTCGACTGACTCGTATCGGGTGAAAATCGCGGATTACTGCGATTTTAACCTCCTTCGACCTACGAGTCTCTGCCAGCTGGACCCACTACAGGCTCGGATTATGTATTACGGAGTTTCGAGTATTACGTGTCTCAGCGGAATTCTTAATCGTTCGTCAGTTTGCTTATTTATAGCCCGGGAGTTGGCGTCGCGGATTTGGGGAAACGCGGAAGCTGGGCTTTTCGGAGACGCGAGTGCGTATAGAAACCCGGGGGACTTTGGGCAGCGGTGAACAACCGCGGATGGGGTTTTAGCCACGGCGCGGATTTACTTGAAATCCTTAATCTTTTGCGCGGCAACCGGGAAATGTTTGCCAGCCAGGCCTTGGCAGCGACTCGGAAGGGGTCAGGAATCGCGGGAACTCGAATTGGAATGCGTTCCTCGTAGGAGATACTTTATTTTCGAGCGATTTCCCGCGGATCGCGGTGACTTACGTCCACGAGCTCGGGACGCGATAGATTCCTTAGGACGGTTTCATCGATGACTTACAGGGGATGCATTCTTCCCTGAGCAGAAGGGTCTGGATAAACTCCACCGAGTTTATTCAAACTATCTGTCGATCTCAACCAGTCTCTAGGACGGTCTTCATCGGGCTTGCCCATTGATCGCGATTTCGTCCGGTGGCCGGCTCGCCGAGACATTGTTTGAGCTTCGTGTTTCTAACACCTGTAGATGAATAAAACAAGCTCTGTTAGTACAGGTGACGCGCCAGGACTTAATCGACACCTGTTCGCCACGGGTGCGAACACCCTGGACTCCCGGGGCGCTAAAATTAGGCCGGTGTTATGCCCGGGCCGTCAGCCGGGCGTAAAAAGAACCGCTCCCGGCAGTTCCTTGCCTCCGTCCGCGAAAAGATTAATTGATGGTATTCCCACTCATCGCCAAGATCCGACAGCACCTAGGGCGAGAGATCTTGGGGACGACTGGGTATTGCGACCGAGTCCTGTTTGTTGAACCCAGGAGACAAGACACATGTGGCCAGAGGGGGGAGCAAGAGTACTCCTGTTGCTTCCATTACGCACATTCCCGTTGAAAACCACTTATGTGTTATACCCTCGCGGAATCAAAGCGTAACCTCGGAGGAGATGCGTCAATGCGGGTAAATTTAATGCGGGAGACTCGAACCGCGATACCCATCTCTCGGCGGAATATCTCGGCGAGGGATTGCGCGTTATCGCGGTGCAAATGTAACAACGATATCATCAGGTTGGCGCCTCATATATAATCGGATTTGCAGACCGGTCCGATTAAGCCGAATTCCGTCCGACTCCTGGATTATATTCGAATTTAAATTATTAGAAGGGACGCCATTTTGGATCCTAGAGTACCGGGATTCCCGAGGGTTGTAGAAACTCCCGTGCGGAATCTATGCGATTACGTCCTATTGCTGATAGCAGGATCGCTGCGGCACGCGTTTACGGTGGCCGGCCGTGCGTAACGCGCGTAAACGCGCTTTTTTATCGCTATGTACATTTCTCTGCCGAGCGTAAATAACACCACTAGTGCACGAGTATCTCCATGTCGCTGGATACATATACACGTATTTGCGTAGTCGGGTACGCAGTGGACGGGCAAAAGTTGCATTCTGAACTTTGCGTCCGCTGTTTACTCGTCGTCGAGGTACGAATGGGTGTTTGCCCGTGATCGTAAGACCGGTAATCAACGACCTTAATGAGGTAACGTTACTTAGGTGTGCATCGTTCCCATGTTCACACTTAAGATCCCGATATAAAGAAGACGAGGTGCGTTTCAACTGAGGTCTTATTTTTTACTCGTTCTGCGCCTTCCAAAAGGGTCGCAATATTGAACTTTATTAAGAGTGTCACTGATTAGTTGAAAAAAATTTTACAACGCGAACGTAGAGGCCAGGAGGAAGGTCCTAACCCTCATGAAATTCCATTTTTTTTATAAGACATTTTTAAAATTTCTATGAATAAATTAAAAAAAAAAATTGAAATTTCACGAGGTTTAGGGCTTTCTTTATAACCTCCGTATTTATATTGCAAAGTGTGAATCGATTCGGTACACCCAGTTTGGGGAATGTTTTCGTGAGAACTCTTTGACGGCACTTTCATGTCGCCTTAAGGCACGACCTAAGATCGCGATGGAACGATCGGACGTCGTTAAAAAGGAGCTGGACGGTTGTTGCCTAAGACAACGCCGAGACTCGAGTGCCGCTTCCTAAAAGAGACGATGAAATTGGGGATATTTTGGTCCGAGGGGGGAGCATTCCAAATCGCAAAATATTCTTAGGGGCGGCATCGTAGGTTTCCGCGCCCGCCGTGGTGTGCGGCACAAACGGAGACGGAATATAGTGCCGATGCGGGAGTTTCGCTAGTGCACGGTCTATATAGTGGGGCGATACCGCGAATCGCGGAAACACCGACGATTTGCATACGGCACAGTCGCCATTGTAC